TTATTTGGAACTGTGTGAGGCTCCTCCGTCCTTCAGTTGTTCTTTGTGTCGCCGGTGTCATCGTCGGCGTTGTCGTCGTCGTCAAGATTCACGTACCTGCCTTGGATTTTTCATCCACTCAGTCATGAAAACCTTGAAGGATTCTATTCACAGAAGGGGCAACAGGGCCCGAGTATCAAGTGGAAGTGGGTGGACAAGTACTCCCATCACACGTTCATTCCCTTCACCCTTCTGGCACATCTTCCAGGTTCCCATCCCATAGATGCCCCCTTCACAATTCACCGGCATGGCCTATTCGTTCGATCGTAAAGGGGATGGGCTCTCGTGGATCCTGCCGTGCAACTATCGCGGCGAGGATTCTTTCGCCTAACTCGTCTACCCTTTCCCTTTTTTCCATCAACCACAGGGATTCCTTCCTTCTTTCCTTCTTACACCATTTACTTCAGGGATCTGTATCGCCGTCAAGATTCCGTCTCCTGGTTGTTGGATCAAGCTGAGCTCTGCCAGCTTGTTGACTTGGTTCCTCCTCTGTGATTCTCACTGTCTGGCACGACGTCACTAAACACCGGCATATCTTATTCCGAACCCAAGGACCCTCCGTCCAAACCATTCACTCAGCCAGCCCCTGCAAACCCGGGACCACATCCACAGAAAGTCTTCGCGGAAAGCAAGAGATCCATAACCAAGCGATGCCAAACACCATCCGTGCCAAGTGGCTTTCTTGACCGCCGCCGCCGAACCACATGGCGTGGGGGAGGACAAACGATAAACCCGTCCTCTATCTTTCCCATGTACTCCACGCCTTGTCCATGGGAAAACCCTACTGTTGTTCCAGGCCTATTCTTGCAGTCGTTATCCCAGACACCACGAGGTGTCTGCAAATGTCAAGAGCGAACCCCGAAAAAAAACCTTTTATCAAGACCAACGCCGCCTGCCACTTCCTCTCCTTTTCGGCCCATGTCTCACACCACCTGACACATGCTCAGGTTGACTTTCCCTATAACCCTTTACACGACTCTTCACGCGACTCCACACCCTGGGTCTACCATGGCTTCTACTTTACCATCGGCACTTCCTTCGGCAACACCTACATTCGCCATGTGCCTATTCACTTCAGCAACAGCGAGGCAGCGTTACGCCAGGCTGCGGCACTACATGTACAAGCACACACAGCTATGGGACGGCGTGGTAGCAACTCTGTTAATATGTATGGCACAGCTTATCATAGCTGGTATCGATCTGATGCTGGACAACCATAGCGTGGACTTTCCCCCTTCGATATTGGCAATGGTTGCCGTCTTCGTCGTCTTATCCGCTTGCGGGTGTGTTATGCCCAGACTGGAGGAGTTGTATCAAAAGCACCTGAGCCGCGCGGTACGTGTCTTACCCCGGACTGAACTGGCCGAACGCTTTGGCCTCCCCATACTGACATGAGCAGACCAACCTCCTCAACCGACACATGTCCATCGGCTTCACCATCCCTTTTGTCATGATCTGTCGAGGACCACTTGCTGATGCCCGCACCGTGGGGCTTGTTATTGCTTGCTTCGGTAAGACGCTCGCATTGGACATAATGTGGGGGATATGCTAACACAGACAAGTGCTCACGGGAATCGTCAACGTTTTCGCAACGTATCTCCTGGCTTTACCGATTCACTCGTTGATGGTCCGCTGGAAACGATCATGCACTCTCCCCCGCGAGTCGGATAACATGGAAGTACTTGAAGGTCGCAGGGAACGGTGGAGCTGGATGTCGACAAAGCTGATATTCGAGCCCAATTCCATGGCCAGCAGCTTCAACTTCGGTGTGTCTTGTTCCGGCGAAGAGAGCGCTTGTGAAGGGACCCGACCCCCGACTTCCCTCGAAAATACCTCGCCTACAGTGGTACATGAGACACCGAGGACAGGATTCCGAGGATGGCTTAGCCGAAACCCGATGTTGATTTTGTGTTGGTTCCTGACTTTCGCCGTTGGGATCCCCCTACGATATGCCGTGCACCGTGACGCCCCTCTTGCGACCTTTCTCCTCTTCGCCACTTGGTTTACTATGCTGGAAATTCAAAGAGCCGTCAAAAGTGCCGAAGGGCTCGCTCCCTGGATCCGAATCACCCTGACCGGTTCTCTCAACGCCGTACTATGGACTTCGTTTGTCATGATGTCGTATATCTACATTGACGCTGCGATTAGTGATCGAGCCTTGGGCAAGATGCTGGACACCTTGCAGACCAAGACAACCCTCTCCCACCTCCTTCTTCATGGTGTCAACGGCGGAGTCGATGCCGAGGGAAACAAGCTCAACGTATCCATGGCCGCAGGCGATATCGCCCAGTCCATCTTGAATGCCGGTTTGGTGGCCTGGGGCCTAAAACTTTATGAATACCGCCGCCAGTTACTCTCCCGCGCCGGGTTGACCGTTCTCATAGTCTCCTCCATTCTCGCCATCGGCAACGTCGCGTTGGGTCCTCTCTTCACTCGCGCCATTGGCCTCGGCCCCGCCTCCCGCAACATTGCCTACACTGCTCGCAGCGTCACCATCGCGATGGGCGCCCCGGTCATGATCACAATGGGAGGCGATGCTAGCCTCAACGCCACCATGGTGGTTATTAGTGGGATCATCTTCCAGATGGGACTGGGGTTTGGGCTTGGTAGCTGGTTGGAACGGACGATTTTCTCGTGCTTCGTCAAGCAGCAAGAGGCAACTGAGAATACCTCACCCGAACAGTCCAAGGAGAAGCCAGAAGGAGAAGCTAAGACCGAACCTAAGGCGAGCCAGGCTGAGCTACTCACTGTGCCCGTTCGGCGGTCATTCGACCTCGAGGCTCAACAGGCCCCTACGACAGCGCCTATCATAACTCCACCCGCACAAGGCGAGGGAATGAACGACCCGCATACGGTAGCGGCTGGTCTGACAATCGGTATCAACTCGGCCGCCATGGGAACTGCATACTTGTATGAAGTCGGAAGTGAGGCAGCGCCATACTCTGCGCTATCGATGATGGCTCTAGGGGTTATGACAGTTGGGTTCGCAAGTATTAAGCCGTTGGCGGGGTGGGTGGTAGCAAGCGTGGGCGGGACTATGCCATGATCTTACTACCTACATGACCTAGAACTCGACAACTACATACCGACACGATACCTAAGAACACATGAATACCCATGGACACGATCCTACAATATGGCCAGCAACAACGACACCAGATACACGGAAATGAGCGAACAAAAGAATTCCATCGATATAACTCAAATAACCTTACATACAAGAGCTCCTCGTTGAGCGAGTCGAGCACCCTCTTCTCATTTTCCCGCACATTTCTCTCCATGTTTTCCTAATTGTACATACCTACCACCCCCGTTGCATGATTCGGATGGGTGTAAGAGCATCATCAAACGGGGTGGAAGCACTGGTTTAACAGGACAGTCACCGCCGCCGCATGGGGCAAAGAAAGGGACAGAAAAGCAGCCAGCAAGGCAACCTGGCCAGCTCAGAACTGCACAAAAGATCATTCGGCAAAAGCCAACAACATATCGATTCACAACGGACAATGGGAACAGAAAGGAATGTAAAGGGTATGACAAGGAACGAAAGTCATGGTTATGAATCATGCTCTGATGCTCACGATAACGACTATGGTCGGATCACACTTTTCCTTCACTTGGTTTCGGGGACAGAAATGGCGTTTTGGTTCGCTTTTTCTTTTTTTCCTTTTGGTCTTTCGGTCAGTCAGTCGGTCGGCACGGTTTCTAGGTGTGTGTTGACTATCGTATCATATACCCCATTTCTTAGAACTCTTTGCGGTCGAGCACTGGCTCCCGCGGTTTCTCTTCGTTCGGGTCGTTGCTTATCATCATTTTCCTTTATTCCTACACTTGGCAGACACCATCAAATGGGTCAAAGTCAAGGATCAAAGGCCATTGGGGGTTCAGGGTTCAACCCGAGTTCGGGCTGACGACATAAAAGTCTGGTGCGCCGCGGTATTCTGGGGTTTGTCAAGGTAGCTAACAGTTCTACCCATGTCGCTGCCCTGGATACTGGATCTGGGGATGAACACACACACAGATCAGATCTTCTTTTCTTCGGTGGCTGCTGTCCTCCCTCGAATCTCTGGAATCTCTGGAATCTCTGGAATCTCGATCAAGAAGGTGGCATTACATGAGAAAAACACACACATATACATAACATTTCAGCTTATTAGAGTATAGAAATAAACCAAGTATACTTGTTGTATCTTGTTCAATATGGGGGGCATATCATGCATGCACATCATGCATGCATGCATGCATGTAAGGACAGAATCTCCGCGAGATGGTATTTATTCACTTCACTTAACATCATCACCTTAGTTCACTCGTCTGCCAATCTTCATCTTTTACTATCTGATGTAAATCCCGACAGTTGTTTCTCTTCCTGCGATGCCTCGGATCGAGTCTCTATCACATTTTGGTAGCACCAGAGGGGGGGGGGTTCGGCTATAATGTAGGATTCTCGGCATAGTAGTAGCTAACATGGGCATAATGTACCTTACTTACTGTAGGTAGTAGTACATTAGGTACCTTAGGTAAAGTCCATCCATCCATATCCATGGTATCACGCACGCACACACGCACACACGCACGCAGCTTGCTCAGCCAGACTACCTACCTCTAGACTAGTTTTACATCGATTGTCACCTTTACTTTCACGTTCGTTCGTCCTTTCAAGTGTGTAGGTATTTGGCTGTTTGGTTGTTTAGTCTCCTCCCCGTCAAGAAGTTCGATCTCTCTTTTTTTTTTTTTTTTTTTTTTTTTTTTTTTTTTTCTCTCAGTCTTTTTTTTCCCGTCCGCGCCCGGTTCAGTTCAGTTCAGTTGTCTTTCTTCTGCTTCGTTCCATGTCAAAATCCAGGCAGGACAGAGTCACTTGAGCTTCGTTTTTTTGGTCATCTCGGCAACTTTGACAATTACCCTGTTGTTTCCCATTTGTACAACACAAATCGGTTGGATCATTTGTTTGTTTGTCTGTTTGTCTCAAATTGTGAAGGAAATGTTTTATTTTGTCTGCTTTTTTGTTTTCCAACCCCTATCCGGCTGTTTTCTTTTGGGTCAGTTTCCCCCCAATCAGCACCGTCTTGAGCCAGGAGAAATTGGAATCAGCGTTCCTGGCTGGCCCTCGTTGCCTTCCTTCTTCGTACTGCGTACAATAGGTAATCCGACATATCAAAGTTCCAGTGACCGCATAATGGCGTAATGCGTCATCGCGGCCATCATCTTTTGGTCTTCGGTATAAAGAGTCGTGCTCCCGGTCTCATCCCTCGAATTCCTCCTCTCCTTCGTACCATCGCAAAGCGCCGCGCTAGAAGCAGAACCCCTGATTTGTCTTCTTTCCTACACTGTCATGCACGCTCTCAGCGCCCTTTGAAGTTCCTCTCTATCAGAGGTAGTGGTCATGATTTGTTGTCGTGGCGTATCGGGATCCTACTCGAGCCTGTACCATTCCCCAATGTTGGTTGTCAGCAACTTTTGTTCGTCCACGAATGATGTCCGTCTCGCGATGTACTGGTGTCACTCGGTAGTAGTAGCGGCCGTCACCACACACCACCAGATAACCGCAATATACGTCCACCTCCAATATACTCTCCGTCCCCTTCACCTTCTTCTTCTGCTGATTCTTCGAGGAAAAGAAATGTCGACTAACCGTTCAATCAAATGCAACCCACTAGCCGTGTCCACGATGCCGCTGATTTCGCCGGGCTTCAACGCAAAAGCGGCATCCTCAAACTCCTTTTGCATGTCGCCGCGTCCAAAGTAGCCGAGGTCGCCCCTCTTCCGAGCAGAGGAGCAGTCGGACTCGGTCAGGGCCAGCTCGCCGAGGGAAATGGAGCCGGACTTGATGCGCTGTTCGAATCCTTGCAGGGTAGTGAGGGCTTCTTGCTTGGTGCGGGTAATCTCGGACTGTCGTTGGTGGTTAGCGACGGCCAGAAAGAGAGAAGGAAAAACAAAACGAGCGCAGCGAGCAGCCCTCCGCAGGAGCCTCCCTGGAGGGGCCGCCGGAGGCAACAACAAACACCAGGCAGGCACTCCGAGGCAAATTGAAATGGACAACGGGGAGGGGACTCACCTCGCGCCAAGAACTGGGCCTCCTGCTCTGGTTGTGCTTGACCAGCAAATGCGCACACCTGATCTTGCCTTGTGGTTGTTGTTGCTGTTGTTGTTGCTGCTGCTGACTCGTAGGCGAGTGGTACTTGGCCATGTAGATCTTGAGCTTGTCGACGTCGGTGCCCGAGGGCGGCTCCCAGCGAGAGGTCTTGGTGGCGCTGTTGAAGTAGTAGGGCAGGTTCTTGGATTGCGAGTGGCGGACTTCCCAGTCTTCGGGGAGACCGGTTTCGATGGTCTGGGAGGGGGGGGAAGGGGGGGTCAGCTCTGTTGTTCTGGATGTTGCGAGTGGTGGGTTGACTTGCGTTGGACATTATGACGGTTTTGGTGGTGGTGGTGGTGGTGGTGGTTGTAGTGGTGATTGGTTCGTAGGTCGGTTCTGTGAGAGCACGATGCGGTTCGCGGTCAGTAAGTAGCTTAGTCGTCGAGTACTGTAGGCGGGTAGCCTTGTTGCGGTCGCGATGCTAACGGGGAGAAGGAGGTTCGGGCGCAATTGCGACTCGCGTGATCAAGCAGTGACTGCCCGGCGTCGTGACGTACCTTGAACTGCGCAAGTAGAGCTTCAAGGCTGCAAATTAAAATACGACAGAGAGTAAAGATTGAAGATGGGAGGAGAAATGGGCAAAGGGAGAATTGAACTTTTTAGATGACCTGGCGGCGGGGGGGAAGGAGGAACAGGCAGAGAAACATCCAGCACTCCGGCCAAGACTCTCCCGGTTCTAGGCAATGGAGCTCTCCATCGTCAGGGACGTCAGCTTGTCGGCGGCTCCACACCTCACAAGGCACAAAAAGCGGGGACTTTCTCTGGGGGAGCGGGGTCGGGCAAGGGGACAGGTACCGTACCGCCCGTTGTGTTTTCCGCGATTGGGGATTCGTTCGCGGGGACGGAGCTGTCAGGGGCACCATTTTGGTAGTGTGATGGTGTGTGATGGTGTGGCAAGCCGGGCCAACAGGTTCTTGTCCTTGTCAACATGTCCTCGTGTGGGTGCCACTGCGATCCTCCGAGTTGGATGAGGGTGCTTGGTCAGCGGCTATTCATATCACCTTGATGGCTTCGTTTCTCTAGTTGGGAATAATTGAGGTTGAGTTATAGAAGCAACTTTAGCTTTAAGAATAGGTATTTTCGATACAAGTTGTACTAACAATTAATCCTGGCTTTTTCTCCTTTGTTCTCATCGAAAAGGTCACAGCTCACGAAACAAAGACTGCGCGACTTTAACTCAATTCCCGAGTACGTAAGTACCGGCCCGTTGGTTCTCGACAACAGGAACCGAAGCTGCGAACCTGCAGCCCGGTCGTGTGCTGTGTAGCATCGGATGAGCACCATGATCCTCGTCGCCCTCTCATGAGCCATCCACACTTCTCGATCCGTCGTCAGTTGCTGCTGCATCGGGACACCCCACGCAACAGTTCCTTGGGGCCTCGTGATTCTCCGTGCATAGAGTGGGTGCCACACGGACTTGCTGTGCCCTTGAATATTGGGGTCACGGGTGGGCGGGAGGAAGGAGAGGATTTGGAACATCGAGATTGATGTTTTAATCAAAGACTATATTACATACTATGATATTTACAAAGGATTATCTATCCCCTCTGGAGCCTCATGATAATTGAGAGGTACTCGTGGTCGACTCAATGACGTCGTTGTGGATTCCCGTAGTGTGTACATTCTTGTCATTTTGTGTGAGACCTGAAGCCCCTGATGCGCTGTAATGGTGTATCGGTCCCTGTTGACTGCGTCTTGTCCTCGCCCGTTTACTCGAGACATGACACCAAGAACAAGACACTTTGGGGGAGGAAGCAGGCATGGCGCTCCAGTGAATTGAACTTGACAAGTTTGAATCGAGGCTGTTTGATACACTCGAGTCTCCGTCGCCAATAAGAAACAACGAATCATGGCTCATGCAAAACCGGGCATCTGAATGGAGGCTTTGCAAAATAATGGTCTGCAACAAGCAACACTTTTCGGTCTGACTGGCCTGTTACTTGCAGCCTAGAGTCCAGTCCAGTGTTCTGCCCCTGATCTCACCCAAAGCGGCAAGGCGGTGAAGGGCTTTGGCAGTGGCAGCCATCCTTGTCACCCGGCAGGGCAATTGCAGTTGGCACGACGCTTGGATGGATCCCTCCCTGACCGAACGTGACTGCAGCACTCAGGGCATTGCAGTGGGTGGGAGTTGTTGTGCCTCACGCCTTTCTTGGTCATTTCCTAGGCTGGCCTTCCACTTCACCTGCAGTGCCTTTTTTTCATTTTCCATTTTACATTTTCCACCTCCGGCTTTCCAGCATCTTTTTAAACCATCTTGGGACTCTCATTCTTCCACGGACGAACTTCTTCCTCTTTAGCAACAATCGTTCGAACTGCTGAGAAGTATCCAACTGCTGTTACTAGCTTACTTACACTATTCTCAACTTCCACTTGACTACACTAGCAGTTTTTTGCATCCTTCCGCCACCCGACAAGGAAAGCCAACCAAGCCAATCCTTGAGATCGTCAAGCATTCAATTAGCGATCCGTCCATCCATCCATACATTTCTACCATTCACCCAACAACAACAACAACCACCATCAGCACCCACACAAAGGAACGGGCACAACAACATTTTTACTTCATCCCGCCTTTCCACAAAAACACCTTTCAACTTTTACATCCACACACAAATATACACACAAAACACACACAACACATCAACCAAAATGTCGTCGCCCGCCCCTTCTAGCACCGGTGGCGCCAAGGAGAAGAAGCCCCTTGAGCAGATCACGTTCCGCTTCTGCTCCGAATGCAGCAACATGCTGTACCCCCGCGAGGCCGAAGACGAAAACAAGCTGCTCTTCACCTGCCGCACCTGCAACTTTTCCGAGCCCGCCACGTCGACGTGCATCTACCGCAACATCCTCAACAACGCTGCCGGCGAGACGGCTGGTGTCACGCAAGATGTCGCCTCTGATCCCACGGTGGGTGTTGTCTCTTCTGTTTCTTCTGCTGCTGTTGGTGATGGTGTCGCCTCGCCTGCGTCGACCTTGCCCCGACCCGCGGACGGATCGACCTACATCTACTGCCAGTGCTGTGGCGTCATTGAGCTGTGTTCGAACCACTTTGCCGCCCCTCCCTCCGACTCCGAAGCCGGCAGCGATTGCGAGTCCCTGTACGACCAGATGGCCGCTACCACGATCGACATGAACGACAACAGCCATGTCTGGGCCTCCAACAACAGCAGCGAGAGGGAGGCCATGGGCAGGGTCCGTGCCGAAGAGTACTTTTACAACTTGGTCGCCTTTGAGGACTACGAAGAAGAGGAGGGCTCCATCGAGTTTGAAAACATGGAGCTCGACGACACCGACATGGACATGACAGCATCAAGCCAACTGCCTGTTCAAGTCCCGGCAGCTTAGGAAACGACCGGCAGACGACACATCTCCCGCTCTCACGAGGTTACGACTTTTTGATTTTACGGTCACAGCGATTACGGTTACGGCATACCCATTACATCAGGATTATAATACATCTATAATCATGGCGGCGCGAATGTTCTCCCACCTTCGGGATCACAGCACCCGACACACGACTGGCACACAGCACAGCATAGCACAGCGCATACCCAAAAGTCTCCGTCCGTCTGGTGGCGGGGTCTGGTCCGAGAGGCGATGACCTGGATTTGGCTTATTCTTGTCATTTGCTCTGGCTTGCATCGAGACTAATCTCTTTTTTTCTTCTTTCGTTTGCTATCTAGCTCCCAAGAGCCATCAAGGAATGCCCTGCCTGCCACCACCCGGAAGCTGTCTTCTTCCAGTCACAGCAGCGTACTTCGGAAACCGGAATGGTAAGACTCACTCGCCTGTCTGAGAGGGGCTCACCAGAGTCATGGGTTAACAACGTTACTTTTAGAAACTTTTCTACGTCTGCTGCGATTGTGGTAATATTTACCAGTAAAGGGGGATTCACTCCTTCACTCGGGAGGAATAGGGCCAGATCGATCCTCGTTATAGGCGGACAGGCGGGCGGTAGGGAAAAAAAATCAGGTTAATTATAAAGATCAGGGGGTCATGATGAGTTGCATTACAGCGGCGTTTGTACACGGTTAAGTCAAAAGGACCGCGGTTCAGGGCGTTTGGTTCTTTCTTTTTTATGTTTTGGCAGGACCCTAGTTTAGAGATGGTCTTTTCAAGAATCTCGTGGATAACGTTATAAACATGGATGCAGCTATCTTGTGACGTGGAACAGTGATGTTGCTTTGCTTGACATGACATGTAATGTACAGTAGTATACACAGATTGGGACGGCACGCTTGATGTTCCGAACTGAAGTGACCCGTAGACCTAATCGACTGGTGTGACGGCTGCTGCTAGCTGTTTGTTATCTGAAATGGCGCTTGAATAGAGGCCGTCGATGAGACCATATCTTGGTGTGATGTCCGGTGTGTGAAGCCGTTGTAACTCCAGAACATTGTTGTAGTTTCAGTCGTATAGACCGGGCCATCCTAAGTCCTTCCTGGCAAGCAGACCACAGCTCCGTCAGATATCAACAAAGTGATGTTCCGTACTTGGCGCTCCTCGTCAGTCATTACCGCAGCACAGCCAACCCAAGCTGAGCCAACACCCAAAATATCCACAAGGTCACCAGTCACCACAATGACACATCCCACCCAGCAGGGTATTCATATTCATTCCATCTTGATTCTCGCTCATCCATCGTACATTTATCCCCCCCCCCCCCTCTTCCATTTCTCCCCCTGCGTTTATACCCCCATGATCAATCAATCAAGCCTGCATAGGCGCCATGCTCAATATCTTGCTCCACTTTTTCTTTCGCAGTTCCTGGCCCACAACCCCATTGATGCGCGATCCGATCGGGTCGCCGGCCTTGTTGATCAAGACACAGGCGTTATCGTCGAACCGGACGACCGAACCATCGCGTCGCTGGACTTTTTGCTTGGTGCGCACTACCACGGCGTGGCGGATGTCGCCGCGCTTCACTTTGGTGGCGGCCGAAGAGGCGGCCATACCGGCCGAGTCGGCGCCGCGCTGTTTTTGGACGACTACTACTATGCGGTCGCCTGGGGGGTGTTAGTACTTTGTGAAGGGGGGGAGGAGAAAACACAAAAGGAGGGGGGGGGACAGGAGGGCAGAAAGGGGAGGGGGGGATAAGAGGGGGAGGCGGGGAAAGGAGAGGGGAGGGGATATGGGGGGGAGGGAAAGGAAAGAGAAAGGGAAGGGAGGCAAGTATGATATGTGTATAGGGCCAGAGGTTCCTTGGTCGGACGAGAAGAATCGGACGGGATGGGACGGGTATAACGGCGACGACGGTGTTGGGGTATGAAAGAGGGATCGGGTAGTTCGTATAGATATGATATGCTCGAGTCGACGATGGGTTCATGGGTATATAATGGAATTCAAAAGCATACCAATAGAAGCATGCCTCTTTTGGCCGACAACCATGGCGCATTCCACCAGGGCAGCACCCGAGTTGTCGATGCAGTTGAGCATCGTCTGTTTACAATTCGCATGGTTAGCAACAGCACTTTTCCCTCTGTTTCGGTACAAACACAACAAATGGAAGAACTAACCTTTAATTGAATCATCTTGGGCAACCGGTTACTCTGTCCCTGTTACCGAGCGAGTAGTGGCTAAAGTTGGCTGTCGAGAGGACCGACACCCGGCAACTGAATGGGGATTCCACGGACGCCGCGTATCGATTGATTGATTGATGACCGGCCGGCCGGCTGCTGTCCGTCGTGCCCGCCGGACGCGGGGACCCCATCGAAAATTGTTTGCGGGATTCCTTCCAAGTTAGAGGTACGTACCTTGCATTAGGTAAGCAGGCTAAGTAACGCGAGAAAAGAGAGAAGAAGGGGACGCAGCGAGACGCGCCAAAACTTGGACGAAGAGTGTGGAGCCAATCGGGAGGGGTGTCTCATGCATGCTCTTTAGTGTAGCTGCTTTTTGACTAACGCTTTGGGGAAGTAGTTGAAGCTCTGAAAGTGTGAGAGTCTGAGGCAACAGAACATGTGAGGACTCAATGACCGTAGTTGATGTTAAGAAGAGCTTGACAATGAACACATTTTATAAGAAATCATTATTGGACAATGAACTGTTGAATCGTCTGTATTTGTCAAGGAAGATAATGAGTGCGGCCATTCTGGACATAATCAGACAGCTAGCCCATGTACCACCTCAGCCAGCTTGCAAACAGCTCTGCAGATCCTCTGAACTCGATATTTGCTCAGATTCAACCAACTGAAACTACATTGATTACCTGTTAGATTTCTACCCAGCAACTTTCAAGACAAGTTACATGTCTAGACAGCGATATATCCATCTCTTGAAAGCGTACTCAAGATGATCGTAGTGAGTCAAGTCCATCCCCATCTGGTTAGGAACATTCCATCAGCCCTGATCCAACCACCAATGACAACCTCGGCGCAACCAAGCTCCAGCCAGGATGGTGTCTCCCCAAGTCCCCACTCCCCCGTCGGCTGTTTCTCCAATTGTGTCTTTGGAATTTGGCTAGACCACCGCTACCACGGCAACAGGTGGGATCGTGAAAAGAGGAGTAAAGAGGCGAAGATTTGCAATAATGGGCCCCTTTTGTTTTGTTTCTTCTCTCTCCCCTTTTTCCCTGTGTTTTGTGACTATGTTTCATATTTCTCCAATCGATTTGAGCAGTTTTATCTTGAGCTTCAGCTTATTCTCACCCCAGCTTCACCATCAAACGGTTTGTTGCTGTTCTTCCTGTCACAGCTCTAGGTAGAATAGCAAGGCCCTCAAACAAGGCTATTGCCTCATCCCTGCAGCCAAAAGCAAGAAGCCCGCACCACCTTGCAGTTTCCTCGCACTTCTTTCACACTTGAGAGTTCTCGCACAGCTCGCTCGGCCGAATCCATAGACAAGAAGTACAAGAATACATATGACGGCAACCCGCCTCGCCGGACCACTCCAACTCCATTTCCTCCCGAATCCCACCAACCACCAACAAGACGACCGCAAAAGGACCCTCACCCAAGCTTGACCTCCATCCCCAGTCATTCCCAGCTCTTCAGCTTTCTCAAGGTTTCGGCCGCCCGCCCTTCTTTGCAACCTCATTCGCGACCACGTCCTTGTCCTCCCGTCAACCACCAACAACAACAATTCTGTCCCTTTCGATCAAAGCTGCAGCTTCAGCTTGAATTTCAATACTTTGTGACCTTGGCCGTCACCACCACCACCACCACCATCACTTGACTGCGCCTGTCATTGTCAGCCACTGTCGAGTCGCATTGGCTGCAATTGGCTTGATCGCAGACGCATCGTGAGACCTGAGGCCGAGAGTGTGCACTATTCACTCACTGTTGGATCAGCCTCAGCTCTCAATTGCTGACGGAAACAAGAGTGTGCCTTTGTTCGCTCCTTCTCCGATTCGACACCAAGTGATCTGACCACTTTGGCGTATATCGCATCCGCTCTTTCTGTTTGCAGAGGTGGACCGGGAACTTGCCTTTTCCCCTCCTCCCTCAACCAACACCACATCATTTTAACAAACCAACAAACCGAGGACTTTCAACACGCTTTGATTTATCCTCGGACACAATCACTGTCCTTGTCGCAGCAGTCGGTGGCCGACCTTGCACCATGACGAAACCCCAGGGTACGGGTGGGAAGAAGAAGAACCAGTTGACGCTGGCTCAGTTGGCTGCTTACGATGATATCTTGACGGACGCGCTCGTTGACCATGTGAGTATTTTGCGGTGTCCGTGTTTGTGATCGGACGTTTGGTGGTTGCTGGCTGCTGTGCGCATGCGAACTGATCACTAACCTGGCTCCCCCAATGCAGGCGTACTACTGGACCACCATCCCCAAGAACCGCACATCCTACCACCCATCTAGAGGCATCAAGGAGGAGGAGATTACGAAAATCATCCAGAACCACCTAATCGTCGATCCCGACATTGCGACCGCCGAAGAGAAACTGCTTGCCACCGACGGACTCAAAAGGTTCTGCAACACGCTCAAGACCCCCCGAGAACAAAATGACTTCAAAGCGCACCTCCGCCGATACATGTCCATCTACCTCCCCGACTGCCCCTTTGAGGTCAACGCGACCAACCGCTACACCATTGTCACATACGAGGCCAGCATCACGGCCCGCCGCTTCATTCAGCGCAACGAGACCATCAAGTATCTGGCTGGCATTCAGGTGGTGATCACGCCCGAGGAGGAATTGGAAATGTCGTTGCGCAAAAAGGACTTTAGTCTGATTGTGAGCAGCAGGAGCAAATCCACCAGCTTGTTCATGGGCCCGGCGCGGTTTGCCAACCATGACTGCAATGCCAATGCCAGGCTCATTACCAGAGGGCAGGCAGGCATTGAGATCATTGCGTGCAGGAACATTGAGGTGGGCGAGGAGATTACGGTGACGTACAGCGAGAGCTACTTTGGCGAGAACAACTGCGACTGCTTGTGTGCGACATGTGAGAGCAACCTGAGGAACGGCTGGAGGCCGGTGGACGGAGAAGCGGCGGTCCAGAAGAGTATCGAGGACGAGCAGCCGACCGAGTCATCAACGCCTTATTCATTCCGGAGGAAGAGGCGATATGGGAGTACTGCTCTTCAGGCTTCGCGCACTCCTTCAGTGACGCCCGATATGCGCCCGCGCGTTCTGCGCAAGTCACAGAGCCAGATGATGCTGGGTGAAAGGACATCGACCACGGATTCGGCTGCTCAGGGACAAGGAGCAGACGGTCTGAGCCGCAAGCGAGCGTTGGAAATGGGTACGCCCCCTTTTACGCCCACCAAGAAGCAAAAAACCACGCAGTATCCGGTTGTCCCGATTGCTCTTTCGACAGCGCCCTCTAGAGGAAGTTCGGACAATGAGACGAGCAAAAGTCCTCTCTCGTTCAGCACGACCAATGATAACGTTACGGACGCCACGTCCCAGGGCAGTGAAAGCCCGGGACCCATCATTCTCTCACCAGAACCCACTCCTATCAAGCAGGCGATCGGTCTGTTGAAGCAGGAGGAGGGCGTCAACGAGGTGGCCGTTCAGCAGGTCCCGGAAGCGTTCACTCCGCCACCTAGTCAGCCAACAGAGGAAGAGCCGCCGATGGTGCGCCCTGCATTTGAGCGTTTGGCTGCGCGAGATAGGATGAGCATAGCCAACCTCATTTCAGGCCCCTCGAGTCCCGCTCCGCCTGTGGTTTTCTCGGTAGCAGAGGTGACAACGCATAGGCCAAAGCCTCAGACTCTGCAAGTTCAAAAGACAGATCAGACAGCTACGATCAGCACTTTACAGACGGTTACAGCGGCCGTACAAAAGGAGGCCCCGGTTGTCAAGACCGAGAGCCCCGTCAAGCCTATCGTTGGCCAAGTCGAAAAAATCACACAAGTTCAAACTACAACGAAATCATGCACCCCATCGAAACCCAAGGCGCAAGCCGCCGCCTTGCCACAACACCACATGCCCGTATCAACAGCGCCCCGCGGTCGCGTCCCCCGCGATTATACCCTCACGCCCCTCCTGCTCTCTGAGCCCGAAACGGCCTGGATCATGTGCACCCACTGCGCCTCGGCCTTTGTCCAAAAGAACGCCTACCTGACCAAGTCCACCTGCCCCCGGTGCGAGCGACACTCCAAGCTGTACGGCTACATGTGGCCCAAGACGGAGAAATATGGGCCCAACGACAAGGAGGAGCGCATCCTGGATCATAGAATGATCAATCGGTTCCTTACTGCAGAGGAGGAGGCGAGAGCTAGAGGGAGAGTGTATTGGAGAGAGAGGATGGGGAGCAAAGGCAAGCAGGGTTCTTCGGCCCCTTCTATGAAGGGGACTCCTGCTGGGGAAAAGAATGAGCAGTCAGCAAAGAAGGAGCAGAGTCAAGGACAATACGTCCAGGAACGGTTCGCTGTTCGCAAAAAGGTCAAGGTCCAGGTTAGAAGTACGGTGCCGACGCCTGTGATTATGACTAAGAAGGACGAGGTGGCGGAGGCGGCTGCGTTGGGATTGAGGCGGAGTGGAAGGGCGAGGAGGGTTAGTGCCAAGCTTGCTGATTGTGAGCTGGACTTTTGATGGCAATGATCATGGATAGGTATGGCGATATGAGAGACGAGTAATGGGTTATTTGACTGCGATGGACAAAGTGGGTGCAGTCGGCGGGATTGAAAAGATGAAAGCCAGCGCTTGGTGGTAATCGTAGTGCGATGAATTAGATATATATGGGTAACAGCATATTTAGCGTAGGCGTCAATTGAGCTGTGTTCAAGCATGCCATAGGTACTCTCCACGAAACATGTTGACACAACTGTGGAATGTTGACCGTGGACATGTTGTCGCCGACGTTTCCAGCGAGCACTCATCCCCAGAGCATCTCCAGAGTACTTACCTTTCCGGACTCAGCGCACATTGAAGGTCCGAACGAACCCAGCACCCCCCATCCCGACGCCGTTAATTCCCATTTCGACAGTCGGTACCCCACGCCCGTCCACCATCTTGCACTTCCGTATCAGTACAGTACGTACATTTCTTGCCGTTCTCGTGGTCTGAAACTTTCACAAACAGTTGGAGCATCGACGGTTGCGGATGGAAAGAACTGAGACTGTCTCATCCCAATCGGAGGAAGCTTTCTCAAGCTCAACTCAAGCTCCCGCAAGCGTTGTATATTCTCACCACCTCTTCTCTGCTACCGTCAACTTCAAGTAATCCCGTTCCCGTTCTCCAATACTTGAATGGTACGGTTGTACGTAACGCCAGTGTAACCAATTACAAGCTTGGAAAGCCCGCCGTGGACCTGCAGCTACAGTACCTCTAAGTATCCACAGGCGACACGAACTGGGAGCGCGACGGACTCAACTGTCAAAGCTTCCACTTCCCCGTCCAACCCAACATCTCGTTTTCTCCCCACAACGGAGCTGGAGTGCGTCGTTATCTATTGGCTTGTCTTCTCTCTTATTCCCAATTCATCGTAAGTTCTGATACGCAGCATAGTACGTATTGTTTACTCATTGTGATAGCTTGTGGGTGTTGCATCGCGCGCCTAGTCCCCAAATCCACACTCCCCCACACACACACCCACCCTCGACGCGCGCGCGCAAGGTCAACCGGCAGTCCCAAACTGACATCATTCTCACCACCCTCTCTCTTTAGATTTATATCATTAACGGCACACACCTCCCGTATCGTTAGCCCACCATGTCTGAGAGCTTCAACGAAGACATCATCGAGGACTCTCCTGCCGCGCCCTCTGGTGATGTCGAGATGACCGAGAGTGGTGCTGTTGCCGAGGGCGCCAGCGCGGAGGACGCGCCCGCCAACAAGGACGAGCTCCCCTTTGCTGAGGAGTCGGCCGACTCGCCCCCTCCTCCTCGCGTCACCTTCCTGCAGTACCTTTCGAGCCCCATCGTCACCTTGATCGTCGGCACCGGAGACCAGGAGACCGTCCTCACGGCCCATCAGTCCCTCCTCGTCCAGAGCCCCTGGTTCGCCGAGGCCTGCGCCGACTTTACCGATGATGGCAGCGTATGTTTTCCCATACCCTGAGTCGGACAGACAGTCAAGCTAACCAAGTGGAATTGATACAAACTAGCCCCGCCAGCTCGAGCTCCCTAACGACGACATCGACGCCATGGGCTGCTTCCTCGAGTTTTTGTATACAGGCGACTACTTCCCCAAAAAGGTTCCCGGCCAGCGCGCGCTCGAGAAGGACCCGTCGATCCCCGAGGTCGACCTGACGGGCGAGCAGCTGCTCAAGCACGCGCGCGTCTACACGATTGCCGAGAAGTTCGGCCTCACCAACCTCAAGAACCTGGCCTCGTCCAAGATCCACTGCGTCAACTCGACGGCCAAGGGCGAGATTGCGTACGCGCGCTACGTGTACGAGTTCACCTCCAAGGACGACACCACCATTCGCGCGCCCGTGGCCAACTTTTGGGCGACGCGGTCGCATACCCTCCGCGCCGAGGCCGAGGACGAGTTCAGGAACTTGTGCTTGGAGTTTCCCCAGTTCGGTTACGATGTGCTTAGTGCGTTTTGTCCGGTGGTGGTGGACGCTACCAGTTTGGGAGGAATGAAAGCTGACAAAGAAAATAGCCCGCGTCCTCGACGAGAAGCTCAAGCGCGAGCGCAACGAAAAGATGCACCCCGGTACTGGCAGCGCTCGCAAGCGCCCCAGACACAGCAGCCAGGCTTAAGCGGCGACGCGAATTATCATCATCATCTGAAGCCTGGAATCGACTATCGATATCATCAGCCAACCTATGGAAGATATCTATTGGTGGGAGGACGACGCGTAGAAGGAGGACGGAGAGAGTATGGGGAACGAGGGCGGGAAGAAAAAGACCGAGATGGGTTGGTTTATATCACAACAGACACACACGAAAACGAAGTTTGGTTGCCGCGACAAAAGGAATTCGCAATGGCGGCGGCGGCGGCGTTGGCGTTGGCGCAGATAGGGAACAAACAGACAAACCGATATCAGAAGGGGAGTATCATATCAAATTCATCAACCATCGGCTGTTTTCTTCGCTTCGTTCAACTATCCATTCCATTGTTATCTCGGCTATCTGGGGTCTACCGCCGCTGATAGGAATCAATGGGACTGCTTGGGTGTGACCTCGTCGGATGGCGTCGCGTCTCGTTTTTGAGGTGTCTGGTTCACTTTCATCGCCGCATTGTACCATCCATCCATATTTACCATTACCATTACCATTAACAAAGGTGAGAAGGGAAATGACATACTATGCACGCTCTGCTCTTCTACTTCTTCTTCCACCATTTGTAATATGTGGAATCAAAATACGCGTAATGACTGCCCCCCCACCCCAACAAGTATGGTAGGTTCTCCTCGTAGTAGATGCTGCAAGAGGTAGGTAGGGCTTGGTAGCAGAAGACTTGATAAGCTCACTATCGGAAGCGTCAAAATCAAGTTAGACTATTCCATCTATCCCTCGTGGCGCAATTGGCTAGCGCGTCAGACTGTTAATCTGGAGGCTGTAAGTTCGATCCTTACCGAGGGAGTGTGATTCTTTTTTTGTTTTTTTTTTTTTCCATTTCCTTCCCTATCTTTTCGCTTTTCGCTTTTTACTCTATGCTATTTGCTGCTTCTGCTGCTTGCACGGTATCTTTTCTTCTACTTTCCTTTCTTTCCTTGTTGTTCAATGTTCTGATATTGTTTTTTTTTTTTTTTTTTCTCGAAGGGGTACTTTTTTCCCTCAAGATAATCGGACAGGTGAAAGACTCGGGAGATTATGGTACACTGCGTCTTTGACGGAGAGATGAGACACAGAATGAAGTGAAGTGAAGTGAAGTGAAGTGGTGGACGATACTCGTGTCTTTCTTTCACTGCACAACATAACATGAAAGTAACCTTCGATACCTACTTACCTACCTTACTCATTAAGCAGAAACAGGCCACATGGATTATCACGCAGATGGATCGGTATACTCGAAACCCTGTCAGCAGCTTCAAAAGGTAAGAAGGAGGCGGCTGGTAGGCATGTCTCTCTTAGGTTACTACTACTCATAGTCCAGTCGTCACTGTCAGCCCTATTCATCTCATATCTCCACACAACAAACCAAACATCTTTTTACAACCGTTGTACCAGGCTTCAACTTCAAGGCAGACTTCGACTTGAGGCAGACTTCGACTTGAGGCTGACATCAATGGAAGCTGCTGAGCATCCAACGAAGAGTTCCCTTCTGAACTTTGGCCCCCCAGGCACCAAAGCTGGTTTCCGAGACTTGCGAGTTACGACAAAGTTTGTAGCGACACCTCCAATTCCAGTTCCAAATCCCAAATCCGAAATTCGAAATGTGGCTTGTATAGTAAAGCCTTGCGAGTAAGAGTTGCGAATATGTAGATGCGATGTAAGTTGCTTGAGTGGCTTGATTAGGACATCAGGTGTTGGGAAACGATAGGATGAAACTGTAGAAGTTCAGAGAGGCGGAACTTGACGAGTTAGATGGGCGGAATAATCTGCCAGACGCTGGGGGAGATGGATGAGCAGGAGTTTGCGAAGACATGCATTGGTGGCTTTGTCTACCAGCAACAGCCAAGAGCCAAAATGTGTACCTCGAGAATCGAATGTCAGCGCCGTCGGTCTACGATCACGCAGTGGAATTACAACCCGATCAATGGAATGACGAAGTTCTGAAGCATCCCCGAGTTGATAGTAATGTTAAATTCATTATTCATAACCGCATTATCACAACTTACTTCCCGTGTGTAGTCACTCCTTCTCCTCGTGCTTCCACCCCAGCACCCGCTCAATCTTTTCCACACTCCAAAACCCCTTGTTCCCCGATATATCCCCCTTGATCTTTGTGCCGGGCCAATACTTCTTGACCAGCTCCTCATTGCTCAACTTGGCATCCTCGCCCACCACACACCTCTCGGGACTAACCACATTGAAAATCTCGGCTCCCTCAAACTTATCCGCGTTCTGCACAGCGGCCAAGCACGCCCTCGCCGTCGCCTGCGGATGCACCCACCCCCAAAGCTGCTTGACGGCCTTCTCGTTGTTCCCCGCATAATCCTCCTCCACCTCCTTCTTGGGCGCCACCTGGTGAATCCTCAAGCACGCAATCTTCATGCCGGGGAACCACCTCGCAATCGCCCTGGCCTGCATCTCCGCCTCCTCCTTGGCGAGCGCGTACGCGTCCGTCGGCTTCTGGGTGATTTCCTCGTCAATCGGGAAGTAATCAAATTCCAGCGGCTGGTTCGAGTAGACGAGTCCGATGGCGTTGACGGAAGAAGCATAGCAGAATTTTTGGATGCCCAGCTCGGCGGCGGCGCGCATCCCGTTGAAGGCGGCACAGACGTTGTTGGAGTGCACTTTGTGGTCGTCCTTGTCGACGGGATCAGGGATGGCGGCCAGGTGGATGACGGCGTCGCACCCCGCAAAGGCCTTGAGCACGGCGTCGTAGTCGCTGGCGGCGTCGGCGGTGCGCATTTCGGTCTTGGGGGTGGAGGGGTCGGGGTCTTCTGGGGTGCGGTTGATTTGTACGGTTGCGTGGCCTTGGTTGGCGCAGAGGCGGACGACTTCTTGGCCTACGGTGCCGCGGGCTCCGGTGATGGCGATCTTCATGGCGGAGGAGAGAAGACGGGGGTTCTTTGGGTGTGATTTGGTGTGGTGATGGTGAATTGGGTCTTGCGGTGTGGTGTGGTGTTTGTTGATGGAGGTCTAGAATTGGTGGTTTCGAAGACGGAGAGGAGGAAGGCTTTATGGGCCATTTTCACGGGTAAAGGCGTATGACGTTTACGTGGGGCTCACATCATCGAGATGGATGTGGACAACGAATTCACAGGAGAATATGTTCCTGTCGAGCTGCAATGACCGTTGAATTCGGCAAAAGAAAGAGGAAACCGACGTGTAAACATTGGTGACATCATCGATGTTGGACTGCCCCACTCGTGATGGCGGGTTATTTGGGAAAGAATACTTCCGTTGCTTCAACGTCGCAACAAGGAAAAGACAGTGAGCCTTTTGTGATGTTTATTAATCAATTACAAATGTCTCTAAAGACCCTTGGGGCACGCCCAGCTTGAATGACTATCAGTCAAGGGGGCTCGAGGGGGGCTGCGGATTGAAGAGCACAGTGTGAGGGGGGGTTTGTAGACAACAATCTTCCGACCCCTCCCACGACATGGCCATCAAGGTTCTCACCACTCGGACTCCAATGCCGCCAACAACTGGAAAGCGCAATCTTCACATCAAAACGAAACACTGAAGCAAGCGCCGAGGTTAATTTCAGCAATGGCGAGCCTCATCACCAATATTGGCGTGTTTCCCGCCTTAACTCGTGAACCAGGCGACTGCCCATCCCTCGACTTGCAACAACCACCGTGACTGCTTACTTGCCTTGTTTACTTGCAACCTACGGCTTCTTTTCCCCTTCCAATACTTGACACTTGCCTTGAATTGCCTTGTGTGCCACGCTGGCAACATCGACCGCTGTAGCAGCCTTTGGGTCAACAGTCTTGAGCCTATCAGTTGAATTGAGCGACAATTGCTTGCTGATTTATTCCGAGTACCCAGATCCCAATAACGCAACCCAACGAACAGCGACCATGACCGCAACCGTACCGTCCATCGAACCAACGACAAACATGTCGCCGACCTGTCACGCGTGCGGTCAGCTCCTCGGCCAGATCAAAGCTCCCATTCTCGATCTCGTTCCGCCGGCAGAAGCAACGGAAAAGAAGAAAGAGAACAAGCTAAACGAGATGGCAAAAGTCAACAACACGATCGGCCCAGGGCTGCCCAAGGTACTTGGAACCCTACTTGACTACGTTCAAGAGTGGATTCCTGGCTATCACTTTGTCAAGCGAGTGCTCGAAAACTTTTACAGAAAGACAAGTCCTCCGACGGCTCTTGCGATTTCCCCGGTCCATACGGTTACCTCCTCCAACCCCATCGTCAGCATTGCCGAAAAGCGAAAAAGGCCGAAACACGTGAAAAAGCCTAAAAGTACTCCGGCAAACCCCGTTCAAGGAAGACCTCCAAAGTCCAAGCTGCCAGTGCCGGCCTCGACCTTCGAACGTCTTCAGATCGAGAAAGGAACTGTTCATGCACCTCAATGCCTGTCGGTCTTCCTCAGGATCAACGTCGGTCGTATAGGAATGGCCAGCTTTCACGGTCCTGGACGGCTGTTGACCCGCTGGTAGCTGAAGCAAACGGAGTTCTGTACAATAATTAGGGCCACATCTTCTTCTGGGTTTTGCTCGGAATCGGGGAGGACAAACTCGCGGATTCAACCAATGCTGTATCATTGTCCGCCTATGCCGAAGGAATGACTGAATTGGAGGAGAGGGATGACATTATGTTTAGTGATGCCATATGTATTAGTGGGTCAAAGTACACGGAGCAACGAAGCATGAGGAGCGAACTACATTTCAGCCGATAAAGGTATGGCAGTGCTGGCAAACACTAGCCGGTATACACAGTCACTCGTGCGGTTCAGGCGGTGATCTAGCAGAGGGCATGTTCATTACCGCAGCAGAGGTACAAACAAGTTCATCAAGTTCTATTTTATTTCTATCTTCCGTATTGAATGGTCACGCTTTTACCCTCCCTGTTCTTGCCCCCTCTCAGTTCCTGTTCTCGTTACCTGCCCAGCCCCAGCCCCAGCTCCCCCTCCACCTCCTCCAGATCCTCCCCCTCCTCCCCCAATCACAACCTCAGCATCACCACCAGAACTCAAACTTAAACTCAACCTTGAACCGGAACTCGAACTTGGATCCACACCCGTAGTCATTGCACTATTACCATTCGTCCAATAACTATCAGGCAAACCTACCGAAACGACGGGGGGCGCTACGTTGTTATTTGGTCCTGGTCCTGGTCCGCCTCTACTGGTACGTGTACCGCGACCTGCAGCAGCCGCAGCAGCAGCCATGGCGCGTTGAGTGAAGATGGAGTAGGATGGGGGTCCTATTGCTGTTGCTCTTTCACTTGCGGTTCCCCTTGGCCTTCCCCTTCCGCCGCTGGAGTTGTTGGAGCCGTTGGAGCCGTTGACGCCGTTGACGCCATTGACACCGTTGACGCCGTTAGGGGAGCCATGAGAGCCATGAGAGCTGTAAACGCTTTGGGATCCACGAACACCATTAAAACCATTCGTAGAGCCATCTGAAAAGCTAGCATATCCGCTGTACGCAATAACTCCATGACCTCGACCCCTAGGAACGCCACGTGACGACCGGCTATAATGGTTTGAGCCGTGGTGGGTTGAGCTGTACTGGTGGTTTACAAGAGGGTAGTTATTGTAGTAATGCTCACTATCTCCACCACTACCAAGGGGTGAACCAAGGGGTGAACCATTATGTGTGTCGTACCCACCTCTAGGAGTCGCTCTGGAACCTCTCATATTCCCATTTATCGTCATCCTGCCTCTAGCTCTACCACTACTTCTAGCTCTACCTCTACTTGTAGCATAATCGCTACCTCTAGCACTACTGCTTTCTCTACTTCTGGTCGGCGACATCGGTTGCAAGGCAGGTGATCCCAGACTTAAGGGACTGGGACTGGGCCCAGTGATTACCGGACCGCGCGGGATGGGTGTCAGAGGGGAGTTGGCGTTGCGTGTGGTGGTGGTTGTGGTGGTGGTTACTAGGATGCCGCCTAGAGTGCCGGTGCCGTTGGTGGTGCTGTTGGTGCCGTTGGTGGTAGAGGAGGTAGAGGAGGTGGTAGAAGAGGTGGTGAAGGGGTCGTTGGGGCTACTAGAAGTGAACAAGTCTGAGGTGGATGAGGAGGATGATGAGGAGGGACGGGGGTTACCGTTTGTGCCGTTTGTGCCGTTGGTAGAGGCATGGGGGTTACGCCGTCGGGAGACGGAGGAGAGGGATTGCTCGTGGTCGGTTGAGGTGGTGTAGGCTTGGGAGGGTGCCATTTTTACCTTTTACCCATTGGGTTGAGGTCGGGGGTAGATGGGAAGGGAATTACTGGGGGAGTGAAAGGGGCTGGTGATGAGGGACTGGAGTGTTCAGAGGGGAGGATGAGCTGTTACTTGGTGTTGGTGGAGGTGAAGTAGCTGTCCTTTTAAGCCTCAATGATACACATGCTATCACTTGCTGTTGTTACATTTGGAGATGGAGGAGTCATGAGTACAGGTGAGTCAAGTCAAGATGCGGTTTGTATTGAGTATGTGTTCACGAGAATCAGGGAGAGCAATCACTCCTAGATGACTACCATATCTCATTTTCAACCTCTTTCCCTGCCTCAAAATTCCCCCATTCTTTTCGCAAGGCCGGGCAGCGAGTAATTGACTTTTCAGAGGAGAGTGACCACCCTCATATCATAATATCACAACCAGACGACTTCCACTTTATCGCCTCCATTACCACTCCGGACTCAAGAGGCAGGCTTGCGGGAGATTGGGAGTGATTGTGAGTGATTGGGGATTGCTGAAATGAGGTTTGACAGGAGGACATGTTTTCCTTTTTGACTAATAAAGGGAGATGACACTGATTAGGGATTATCTAGTGGCTTGCCAGCGTTTGTTTGATCAGCACGAAGAGATTGTGGAGGGCAGGTAGGTCTTTCCCCATCTGATGTGTCCCCTTATCAATACAGTATCTTTCAATGTTAATGCCGGCCGCAAGTGTCCCCGTTTTGCAAGTTTCTCCGGTCCGCCTTCCCCTCTAACTGTGCTCCACGTCCTTCTCCTTTCATGTTTTCAATCCAGACACCCAATCGTATTTTCCTGCCAACGCTCGACCTAAACCGCGATCAATCCTCACCACTCTCGCTTCTTACGACGCCCTCCTCAACTTATCAAAAATGCTCGTCGTCCAGATCTCTGGTCCATCTCCCGTGATTCAAACGCAAACATTATCCCGAGCCGGAGCTCCAATTGCGCGGTGAGCAAGACCTTTCGAGACCCCGCACCTAAATATCTCCTCCATGAGATCACCGCCATTCAGACTCCCAAAAGATAAAGAAACCCTGACGTGACCGACGAGCGACCACGAGCGACCACGAGCGACGCCAGATCCAGCCCATCAGACGACGAAACGCCACTTCAGTTCCGACACTCTGCGTCGCCCAAGATCCGCGAATTTCGAGCAGGGTACAGCAACTGGCGGCGTCGAATGTCTAGGAACAGGCGGAGCCAACACCGCCCGCTTGAGCCCGAAGCGCAGTTGCCTAACCGGGCAGTGGAAGGCGTTGAGATTTCGAACTTCGATCGCCTTGGCCCGGCGGAGGACGACCGTGTTTACGGCTGAATTCGCGACGATCAAGGCTTTGGAATCGGGCTCCTCCGGAATGGGCGGTAGTCTGTGAAAGCTGTGTTGGGTGAGGACCTTCAGCTTTGCCGACTTGGCCAGAGTCGGAGGTTCGGGACATGGCAGGGACGGCATAGGCTGGCTTGTTGACTTCTTTTGACGGACAAAGGGAGGCTGTGGTTTTGCTGGGTGGTCGGACCCGCGGTGACGGTTGATGGTGTTGGCCACGGGGGTGACTGTGTGGCCGGCTTCGCTGTTGCCGTTGATGGTCTGAATCATGGACCGGACTCGACCCTTTGCCGCAAGGAGATCCCGACGGACCTTGGTCGCCGAGTGCGAGAGTGGGCGTGTGCTGGAGCGGGAAGGGAGCAGGTGAGGTGCTGCTTGCTTTGGATTTTGTGGTTTCTCTGGCTTCTCGATCTCGATGCTGGTGGGTGGAAGTTCGACTTTGTCACTGATGCCCACCGGATGATGTTCCCCTTGAATGTTGAGGGCCTTCAACATGCGACTGACCTGACCTTGCGCGGCCTGGTACTCCTCACGTATTTGGCGGCATTCCTCTATCGCCTCCTTGATCTCCGACTTGAACAGGATCCAATCCTTCGTGGCGTCTGCGGTAACCATATCGACCTTATCAGTCTTCGCGCCATGCTTGGTCTCGTCGATACAGCGATTCTAAAAATCTACCATCAGCAACTCTTCGATGTCGGCATAGTTATCGTTTCTTCCACCCCTCGGCAAGAACGATTGGATCATTAGCTGCTCGGGGTCATCCTTGGACTTGTTGGCATCCGACTTCTCCACATACACCATCAACAAATCGAGAGTATTGCCAAACTTATCGTCCCTTCCACTTACCGGTACAGAGATTCGAAGCCCTGGCTGTTGGTGGTATTGTTCTATTTCAAGAACCTCGCTCTTCCGCTGCGCCCCTTTACCCTGGCCCCTTAATTTACGGCAGCGACCGCAGACGCCTCGCTCGACATCGTTCTCGCGTTGCGGCTGCTCGCCACAAGCGAAGCGGCTCTTGATGTACACCTTGCCATCGATATCAACATCCGACTGGGTGCTGTCATTGCTCATGGGCGCCGGATTGCATATGAACCGGCGGAACTCTGTGTGCCCACAGGCCTTGTACAACTTCGTCCGGTAGAAGCACATCTTTAATGGGAGAACTGTGGACACTGACGAAGTTTTGCTGACACGGAAGAGATGGCTTAAGATGGGTGCTATCAGAACTATGATTGCAAGATGTGTGGTTGTGGAATATCACTGCTGACGTGCGCGAATGAGTCCGGCTCGGATGATGATATGTGATGATGATGGAAGCTAGGAGGAGGAGGGTCAAGTCTCTTTCAATGCTCAATGCGATATACCTAAGGTGCTCCAGGTTGACTGTCACCTAGTGGTGACCGTGGACTCTTCCACGATGGCGAACATGTGGTTGCCATCGTTACGGTGTTGTCGCTCTCTGCGATGAACAAGATCACTATTCAGAACCTGGATGGCCGCCGACGTCAACATACAACGACAACTGACAGTATATACCAGAAGACCGACTTTGTTCAGCGATTTCGATAGCGACAGACCGAGGACTTCAGCATGAATATAATGGCATTCTTACAATTCATCCACCCTGCATGAACATCACAACACGGCAACCACAGCAGCATCCACCAACACATTCATATCAGCAATAACCTGCTTTCCATTGCAACCAAACTTGTTAAGACCGTCAAACAAAACACCAACAAGCCATTGTCAAACTTTGCGCCTCGCTTTACGCTTGCTAGTCGTCGACATGTGTACATTCACCAGAACAGCCTTCAAGATGTGTGGGCACACAGAGTACCGAGGGGCTCGTTGCAGCCCCCCGGTCGTCCAGAAGCACAACATGCATGAGTTGTGCAAGAAGACCCCGATATATCTTCAGAGTACGAAGAACGGGATCTGCACACAGTGCCGAACGAAGAACTGGGAGGCGAGCATGGCTAAAAGTAGCAATATTCCGGATGCAAAGGAGCGACATGGCAACAAGGGCGCTCGCCCCGACCTGACTGTCGGCTGCAAGGACGAGGTTTCCCATCATGTTAGCACACCTGCAACCCAGCACGATAACTTCCAAGCTGATACACAGAAACAGGACAAAGCAGCAAAGTCCAACATCATTGGCATTGAACTCAATGGTCGACCCAGGCCCTCCTGTCAGTTGACCGAGCATTTCAGCTCTCCTCTGCGAGAGTTCGCCCCAAGACACCAAGAACCGAAGATCATTAGAAACAAGCGAAAGATCAACGCAAATTCTGAGTTCAAAACAAGCGAACAAAGGGAAGCATTGCGTGGTCCGAGGGTCTTGCCGGGATTGCATCCAACCACCAAAAAGAGCTGGAATCTCATCGCTGTCACCAAGCCTTTGCGCGAAGACGAAGAGAAAAGAGTGGGACTGCATGGGCCGAGGGACTTGCCGACGACTCAACACACCATCAAAGAGGATTGGAACCTCATGACTGTGACTAACCCGGTGCGTAGAGGCGACGGAGGGAAGTTGCGCCTACGTGGACCAAACCCCTTCCCAGCCACTTCTCCCTGCCCGACAACAAACCCAGCTGTCAATGGCTTTGGTGCTCGCGGCCGAACAGCCTGCGCGCCTCTCGTCCTCCAGGAAGTCGATAAACCCAAAAACCGGAAGGTCCAGGAAGCAGCTGGAGAGCAGTTCCTCCACCGGCTCCAAGATGCGATACCTCCTCTACCAATGTCCTATAAGCCGATCCTCACCGGCCGACACCCGCTGCACCGCCCGTTGCCGCCAATCCCAGACGAAAACGATCCCAAGCCAGATACGGACGACCAACCACCTCCGGTCCCGCCGCACGTGGTGCTACATCGAAGGAAAGCCATCACTTTGCACGCGCATGACGAGTCTGGCTCACCTATTGAACGGTACTCACCGGCTCCAGACGCTCCAGTAGGCACCTACTTTGGCCGAGAAACTGTGCACTACGGCTGGCAACCTGCGAGATGTGATACTGTTTGTAGCTCATTCACGGAGTAGTCAGGCAGTATTAGAACTCTTCTACACCCAGCATTCTGATGAATGGCCCGGCCAGTGTTCTGAGTTTTGCTACATGTCATGAGCGGGACGGAGACGAGGACAGGAGTATGTCAGGGCTTCGGTGGGGCTTGCCAACAACCACTACACTGGATGTGATAATGGTGTGGAATCATCACAGAGCTATACTTCCTGGAGCATGAGGGGGGAGGAGACACAGGGAGTGACGGACGTTGAAGGGGAGGTGGCGGAAGTGGAAGGCGGGGTGGAGCTGCGAGATGGAAGGATGTATGGGATAACTGGCATCTGCCAGGCATAAGGGAAGGGCTCACACAAGACCCGCACATCGATCTAGGTGTTTTTGTTGGAATCCACAACCAAGTTCGGCAATGAACACACAGTTAACCGGCATTGAGAGCCTGATCTTCGTTATAGACACCCAGAATGTGACTCCCTGTGATTGAGACTACCTCTACATATAACACTCTGGACGTGCACATGCTCATCGAAATGGAAGTTTCCCAACTTTTGATAATCTTTTTGTTCCTATTCTACAGTCCCTTTTTTACAGATGTTACAATAATGGTTACAAAACTCGAGTGTCCCTCCCATTCTCGGCAGCCCGTAGTAATCCCGGAATAACCGCCCTCTTCCAAACAACCCAATCCTCCCTTCCTTTCCGAGTCCCTTCCCACACTCTTAATCATAGGTATCCAAATAATCCCCTCCCCCAACTTGTCCCTCCTTCAGGTATTCCTCGTATCATCCCCTCAATTGGTCCTAACCCGATCCAACAACCTCCACCCCCTCGAACCTTCTCTCATATCCTCCCCTTTCCACTTCTCCCCTTTATGTTTCCATTCATCCCCCTCCCCTCCAGCGCACTGAGTCCGTCCATGTCCCGACCCGCTAACCGCATCACAATCCCCCGCCATAGACAACGACATGCTCCTCGACATGCTCCTTCGCATCCTCACCCGCGGCCTTCGTTTCAACGGACACGGCTCTTCAGGGATGGGCGTAAGCGGACGAAGTTTGAGTTTGTTTTTAAAGTTTGACACGGAGCGGTGGTATGTTGGTCTGCTTGGGGGTCTGTTGGCGCTGTTTGGAGGATATGGATGAGGAGAGGGAATGCAGAAGGAGGGTTTGGTGGGGGTTGTTGTTGGTGATGGTGATGGTGCCCCTGGTGTGGATACCTCTAAAGGTGATGGTGATGTCGGTGTTGGGGGGAATGTGGGGGATGTGGATAATAAAGGTGTGGATGAAGATGGTGAGAGGGGGGATCGCAGACTGGGTCGAAGAGGGATGGCGCGCGCGTCGGTGGGGAGGAGAGGAAGGGGTTTATGTTTTTTTGGCCCACGTGTTGCAGTTGTTGTTGTTGTGGGTTCATGTTTGAGACTTTGGAGGACAAAGGATTGAGGGCTTTTGGTTATGGGATCCAAAAAGTTGGCGGTCTTGGTGGGAAGTTGCTGTTGTCTTTTGGAAGGAGGGTTGAGACTAGCAGCTGGCTTTGGTGGTGCAGGGATGTTGAAAGTGACTGCTATGGGACTGGGTGTCCTGCTGTTGTTGTCGTCGTCGCTGTCGCTGTTGTTGATGACGATGTGTCGCTGCTGCTCTCGGATGTTGTTGTTGATCACTTGGGGCTTGTGGCTGTTGACGGTCAAAACCCGATAATGGAAGTGCGGTTCATCACCAGAGAAACAGGGGAGCGGACCTTTTGAAGAGTTGCCATGCAGCTGTCTAAAGTGTGGCCCGGATTCGCGCCCGCCGGCTGCGATGGACTCGTTGTCCCATGTTTTGGTGCCGGTTTCTGTTTGGACTTCTTCATCATCATCATCCTGTTGTTCGCCGCCGGTTGCAGTTGCTGTGAAGCCCGAGGCAAGTTGGCGTTCCAGATCGCGAATCCTGTCGAGAGCGGCTTGGATCTTTTGTTCTTGTTGGCGGAAGATCTTTTCGGTGTTGGCGAGACGTTGGGCGAGTTCGGCGTCGGATTCTTGCTTGCTGTCGTCACGGATTGACCAGTGGGAGTGAGAAAAGTAGTCGTCGGCAATGGGGTTGATTTTCTTCTCTTCTGTTGTTGGTGGGCTGAGAGGGGGTGGAGGTGTGTTGAGCTTCTCCTCGGTGGGTAAGTGGAGGAAAGTGCGGTGCGTAGAGGTAGAGGTAGGTTGAATCTCAACTTGTAGGGGTATGTCCTTCTTCGAGATTGGCATGTCCTCTGCTTTCTTCGTGCTGCCGAACTTGGTGGCGAGTCCAGCGACAAAACCCCCCTTCTTTTCGTCGTCCTTCCGGATCGGCGCGCTGAAGCGGATTTCCTCGACGTGGGTGGCCTTCTCCGCCCGCACGGCCTTCTTCTCCTCTGTCTGGTGGAAGCTGAAAGCACGTCTGGGTCGCACGTCTTCTACCCTGGGCTCCTTCTGTGCTGCGAGGTCCTCCACTTCCTTGGCAGGCCGCTTCGTGTTGGTGGTGGTGGCCTCCTTCTTGGTTTCAATCCAGCTTGGTCTTTCGAGCTTTTGCTTCTCAGCCTTTGTGCCCTTTTCTTCCTTCTTGGAAGTGACCGTTGCTGTAGTGGGTTGGGCCTCTTGCCAAGTCACCGACCCATCCGGGTTGATAACCTTTTCCCATCGAATGATTCCGGTTCCGAGGACCTCTCTCCTCCGCGGCATGCCCGTAAAGACCAATCCTCCGCCACGACCCATCGCGAAGGCCGGATAACCGTGGGTTGCCGGGATTGTTGTTGTTGTTGTTGTTGTTGTTGTATAGTTGTAAAAGAATGTGTTATTGTGTTGTTGGTGTTTCGCTGTTGGGTATATGGTCGACAGTTATCTTCATGGTGGCAAACAAAGTAGTATGGTCGCCGGTATGACTGCCTCTGTGACGGTCGTTTCTGTCGCTATCATGTTCTCGTTGTCCCTGTCGTGGTGCTTGGTGATAGCATTCCTCTTGTTGTTCGGCGCCCGTGTGGTGGTAGTTGCAGCAGCAGTAGCAGTAGCAGTAGCAGTAGCAAGTCGGGTTGGCATTGCACCGGCAGCTCGAGACATGAGGTGATCAGCGGGAATATGTAGGGCTGCCGGACCGGAGATAACGAGCAGGCATAGGGGGCATGTACACATTTGTAGGGCGAGATCATGAAATGGGGACGGGCCAGGTGTAATATAACGACAGGCGAGATATTTTGGGAGGCTGAGGGGACGTCTACCGAGTTACCGAGATCACGGTCGGGATAAGCGAGCGGGAAGCCGGGAGCCAAAAATAGAGGAGACTGGAAGCGGAAATGTCCCCTGTCGATCCGGCCAATTTGCCTGATCAATAGTACGGGGAACGTCGGCATAGCAACACATCCTCCAGTTCTTGACCTGTGGGGGGTTCGTTGGCTGCTTCCATGGGTTGTGGAAAGTTCCATGTCGGTGTGGGGAGGTGGACGGTTGGAGTCGTCGATCGATCTTTTTGGAAGTTATTTGGGCAAATCACCGCGTCGACAACGATAGAAGGTTTAACCGAAAGAGGACGATGAGGTGATTTCTTGAGTGATACGATTCCTGCATTAGGATCATTACTCATCAAAGAGACATCTTACGATTCGTCAGAAATGAAGAGTGTCTGTCAAAGTCCAACGGCTCGCTTACATGAAAAAAGCAGATCCTCACAAGGCATTTTTCTTCAGTCAACAAGTCAACAACACGGCGATGGTTGGACGCCCACAACGCATTGACTCCTCTGAAACCCGTGTCAGACTATGAAGAGGACTTACAGAATATCTAACTTTACTCAGTCTAGTCCATATTGCTCTGGTGGTGTTACCAGTGTTTGGAGTCGGGTCCTGGACCTGGTGAGAGAACCAACTTTTTTTGTGGGAAGCGAGACCGATAAGGCAACTGAAGTCAGGGGAAAAACACAGTGCGATTCCAGACCCACCATGCAATTTCGGCCACAGTACGCTAGAGAGATGGGCCTCTTGAAAGAACATGATTTCCGCAAATGGAATAGAATAGGTACTTAATCCATGGGTGCCATGGGGGGGGATACACATTGGGGAAAAGCCCGTACCCACCCTTGGTTACTACGGGGCGCAACAACAATGCGGACGACGACGACGACGACATCCACTTTGACTTGGGTGTCGATGTCGATTTGACATGGTGTCTACTGCTACGTGGGATCGAAGGGTGTTTGGACTTGTGAAGGCCGAGGTACGTAGTACTGTACTGTACTGTATGATACTAGGAACGATGAACAATGCAGCACAGTGCGATACTACCTTGCCTAGTGTAATCTCCTTCCACTACTACGTACCTTACTTACCGTACATTGTACACTACCATTTTACAACGGCACCCAGGAAAGAAACATAGGGGAAATAATAAAGACGTCCCGTTGAATGACAATGATGACACATGATGACGAAATCCTGTCCGCAAGCCATAATGGGTAGTTGAACCGGACTCGAACTCGCTTCAATTCATTCTCGTTCGTTTTTTTCTTTTTTCTTTTTTTTTTCTTTTTTCTTACTTCCCGTTCAGTACCGCAACCCAGCGCTATAACTACTACCATACCCTGTGCTACTACTACTACATAAATGCCGAAAAAGCCACGCAGCAGCAGATCCGAAAATACCACCAATCCTTGCTACCTCACCCTACACCAACCGGCCCAAATAACCTTTTTCGTTGCTTCTTCCTCCCCTCGGTACACCTTATCCTTTCTGCAACCCCAACAATAATACCTAATCCATCAAGCAACCTCCTCCTATTGAACATTTTCGGTAACGGTACCCCGTACTCCGAATCCCTCCGAAGGGTCAAATGCCGAGGCATCCGCGTCTTCCATCTCCCAAAGTTCATGCACCGTCGCCATCTGGCTCGGAAACCCTTCAAACTTCCAAGCGGGCGGGTTTCACCGAGGGGATTGCATTGTCGGACTATGACGCAAAAGAGATTGGCCTGACTTTGGGTGTCGCTGGTGAAACTGCCCCTGAGGACACGGACGCTTTGAAGGCCCAGAGTAGGTATGTGACCTGTTGATAGCTTGCGCTTGGTCGGAGGATTGACCGGCGGCACTTCGGGCACGCACGCTGGCTTGGTAGCCACTTCCGACCAGACTGACTTGACCTGTGGGAAGTGGGTGATGGAGAGTCTCGTCGGCTTCACCGTCCTTACTGTCGATGACACCAATCGGGACCACAGGCTCTAGCGACGCAGGGTCGGTTTGATTCGAGACTTGACTGGCACCTTAAAGGTGATCGGTCCTTCAGCGCTTGATCGGAACTTTGGGCGCGACCGATTTGGCTGCCACTTGCGACCACGAGAGTGTCTTGGTCGGAGTTGGGGCCGATTTCTCGATCTCGATTGATTTGGAGCCCTGCCGACGGAGGGTCGAGTCGACGGGAGGCTTTGGCAGCTTGGGTGTCGCGGGTGACACTGCCTTCGGAGATACCTGGGTTGCCGGACGCTGGGCTTGAGGCTGGGCCTTCTTCTCCTTCTTGAGCGTGACGGGTGCCTTGGCCGCCGGGACCTCGGGAACGGCCGGCTTGGTCACGGGTGGCGTAACCGATACTCTTGTGAAGGATGACTTAACCGGCAATTTGGGTACGGCTGGCACGACTGACACGGCTGGCACGACTGGCACGACTGACCTGGTAGCCACCTGTGACCACGAGAGTGTCTTGGCCTGAACGGGCGCAGGGACAACCGCCAGGGGACCCAGTCGCTGGTGTGGGATCGGCTCGACCCTGGGCAACCTGAGCTTCAGTAGCAAGAGCTCGCCGTTCTCGTCGATCGACTCCAGTCCATGCTGTGGGTGGAATCGGTGGCCGCCGATGATGCGACGCTTTGTGCCCTTGGATAGGGCCTTGGTGTCCTGGTAGACCTGGAAGTCCTTGGGCAAGGGGGTGTAGGTGTACACCCGCTGCTTCTTGTGCTTCCACTCCGTCCTTGCCTTCATTACCTCCCTGGTATTCCAGCTCACGGGTTTCTCGAAGGAGCCGCAGATTGAAAAGGAAGGAGACTATTTGCCGTGTCGAAGTTAGTTGACTGCTACGGAGGTCCTTGACAACAGGATGCCCACTGACCTTGGCAGGTGAATCCCTGATGCTGACATTATTCTTGCCCTTTTTCTTGCCCTTCTTTCCCTTCTTTTTCACGACAACCGACCAGGGAATCTCGTCGGAATCTGTCGAAGACGACGTCGGAAAGGGCAACGCGGCCTGCTTGGGGGAACTGGGGAGGGTGAATGTCTGTTTCTCTCGGCGTTAGTTCCCCTTTACTGCTGACAAACGACGAGGGGTCTGGGATGCTCGCTGACCTCGCCGGACAATATCTCGAGTTCAAGGTGGGCTTCCTGCAGGACGGCAGCCCAGCGGGCGCTCGGTTGTGATTTCTCGGGAGGCGACATCGTTGGCGATGATGGTTTTTTGAGGTAGAGAGATGGTTTGATGCGTTGGAAAAAGAAGGGTCGGTTCCAATGTTCCAGAGGAAGGTAAGTTGTGGTTGAGAAATGGATGAAGGAGGACATGGAAGTTCGAGTCGAGGTTCCGACTTTAAATCGTCGTCGCCAGATCTATCTTGTCAGGTTAGCTGTCGCCTGCCGGTGAATGGAATAAACGGATTAAATTCCAGGTCGCATATTTGGTCAGCACAGGAAAGCGCAGGATCAAGGTTCTGTTTTCGCCTTCTCCGCTTAAACACCGAACAGTATTACTTTTCGCGAGTCAGAGGGCCCAGCTCGTAGGTAGGTAGTTGTTTCCGATCTCAGCATGGAAGTATGACAGCGGCATGGACTTCAACACCGAAGGGCGTCGTAGGAAGTCCGTCTAATGAAAATTTGCGGAAGTGGATGCAGGTGGAAAGATGCAATGAATGCTTTCCAAAGCGGATAGGGGAAAATCTAGCAGGTGCATCTCAACGCACGCAGGTTCCGGTGATCTAACCAACTGGACGTGCCTATATGTCGACGCATGTAGTGTAGAGATATCTAGGTAGGTACATATCTGCATGCTGGAGTCGGGCATATGCCTGATGATAAAAGAAACTTTTCTCCATCTTCCGGCCTGGATTTCTCAAGGTTCTACTGTGAGTGCCTCAGAAAGAAAAAATGTCTGCGTCGTTTGGGAACTCGGATGTGCACGAGGGTATACCATCACCTTCACATATTATGTTGTCCATGGTTTTTGCTCCAATGTCTGTTTTCTTCTAGAGATCTCTTGATGTGTCTCCTATCATGATCTTCTTTCCATTTTCTATTCCCGGAAATACCATCCCAGCTGAAATGCTTCCTTTTTGTCCCCACCTCCCATAACTCCCGTCAGCAGCTGGTAACTTCTGCTCCTACCAACCCTCTACCAACCCCGTAGGCGTCACCATCGTCTTCTTTCTCGGGCACTATACGGCTCTTCCCAAGCCATGAACAGGAACCGTGGGCTTAGACAACATTCCGCACCAGGGTGTTTGGAAGTAGTCGCCCTAAACCCCAGCCACCGTGCACCCAGAGGTAGTTTCAATCATCCGGCAATATATCCTCATGTATATGGTCCAGCTGATAGAACTCGTAGCCAACGATACCTCTAGTACAGCACTTTTTTGTTCAAAAACCTTCAGCAGGTCCTGTAGGGGCAAAAGTTCCTCGTGGGCGTCTGAATGTCTTTTTCCAAGGTTATGGTTTGGTATTGGGGTCAAGCCTGCGGTTGTGTTTGTAATTGCGCTTGATCTCGATGATAAACCCCCGTTTTTGTTGGGCCTTGATGGCTATGGGCACGAGCGACGAGCGAGTTGCGTAAAGAGAGGGAGCACATCCGACAATGTCTGGAGGGCTTGTTGAGGGTGTCTTGCTTTTGTGTATGTGGTTGCCTGCGACGAGGTGGCTTCTGGGCACTGCTGCAATCAAAATGAGGGGATGCAGGTACCAAATCCAGCCCAGGTACTTCGGCGTTTCACTCTTTGAGCTTTAGCCCGTTGTGGCGCGTTCCTCGGCGTCCACCTAACTCGTCTGTTATTGTTGTTAGAAGCTTCTTAATAGGAGGCAATAGTGGAGGAAACTTCGAGGATGAAACTCACAATGTCCTCAGCACGCGCCTTCTCCAAGGCCTTTCGATGTTCCACGCAACGATGGCAGAAGCCGAACTCAATCCTCTTTTTGTCCTTCTTTGGTCTTGGACAAGTAATGATCCGGTTAAGATGGGCAGGCTTGATGAACCCAAACTTGCGTTTGAACTTTTTTTGGGCACCGACCCTGCAGAGCCACTCTTGGGATGTGCTATGGCCACAAATTGTGAAGGTTTTGTGGATGTAAAAGCACATCTCGAAGAAAATCGTAGTTAGAGATGGGCCACTTGAATCCTTACTGAATACTGATGGGTGGAATATGTGCTGGTTGCAGGCCGTCGGCTAGAAGCACTGCTTCAAGTCAACGATATTCGTTTTGATAGTCGGATGTACTGGATTTATAGCAGGAGGATTGAAGTCAGGCCACAGGATATTGCACCTTGGTGCCCCGCGCCATACTCCCATCCCGATCGAAGGCTGACCTTTACCAGCGAGTGAATTGTCTTGAGCCTCTGTATATGATTGCAAACGCATTGTTGCCAGTTTGACCGCTCCTCTTACGCCCGTTGCCGCCGTTAGTGTTCCGATGTTGACGAACCTTGAGCATCGCCGTCACTTCAGATGATACACCGGCGGCATGTTGAGTCGTTGACCCACGATAGGCGGGCGATCAACTGCTAAACTGAAAGACCTGAGCATGCTGCTGCTGTTCGTGGAGCAATTAGTCAAGAACTCGGCAAGATCTTGAACACCAGGAGACCTACTGGGGGCTTTTGACAAGCACGGCGTATATATGATTCCAGAATCCAGAGCAACGAGACCTGCAGTGCTTCATCTCACATCCACCCCCTCCTGCCTCCTCCCAAACAACCCCACACATTCCCAACATCTTCCGTCTCTTGAGTGCCCTCCCACTGCCTCTCTTCATACGTCAACCAAAAGTTGATTTTGACATCCCTTCCCTCCATTCTCCCCAGGCATAACGAGCAATAGCCAAACTCGATGCGGTCGACAATCTTCAGGTTCCAATTACAAGCCCCGGGAGTGCGGAAACAGGCCACGATGTCCTTGGGAGCTTCGGGAACGGTGATGGTTTCGATCCAGGGGCCTGAGGCAAAAACGCAGGGCTCACGGCGGCGGGTGTGGTGGGTGCAGATTGTGTGGAGGGTCATTATTATTGTGCACATTTTGGTGGTGAGTGGGTTGAATGAGGAGGAAAGGAGATGTAGATAGTGTATATCCATGGGCTTTTAAATATTGCGGCCTGAAGAACATTGGTGAGTCTACTGACCACGTCAGTCGGAGTCACAAATGTATTGGACCGGGAAATCGTCATGGAGGTTTCCCTCAAGTTCAAGATGGAGGAGATTGAATAAGGAAAGCATGTCGCGCGCTTAGTTGATTCGGATGGCAAATCGCAAATGTAGATGTAACGGAGAGGAAGGTGATGTGTCAACGAAGATTGAGCCAGAGAAATCATCCATCTCTCTGATCATGTCAGCCATCGTCGTCGCCCAGGTGGACGCACGGGAGGAGGTACGTGGGGTCCTTGAGCAGGATGTCGTAGAATAAGATGCGATACTATCAGCAGTAGGGCGTTTTTCGGCGAGCATCTGTTAGTGGAGTAACAGTATGCCGAAGCAAGCGATCACATTAAATCACAAACAACACAACCACGGGCTTAACACTGAAGAACTCATCCGTAAACTCATTATCTGTAGGTTTCGAACCTTTCCTCTTTCTCATCCAGATTTCACCCAAGTTCCCGCCAACTTCGGTCGCGCATCGTTGCCGGACTGTGCCGCCTACAATTCTTTCCTTTTCGGTTCCCTTCATCATCACCGGCAGGCATTCCTGCATCTCATTCTTTCCGCCCATTGTACTTTACACAACTTTACACTCTTCCGCTTCCAATTCTCCTTGTCTTTTTCCCTCTCTCCATCTCCAAATTGCTGACATTTGCCCATTCTCAGACAAACCAATCCTTCCAACGCAGCTGTCCACGACTCGCGCGACCGACTTCTTGGCCGGCACCCGACGACCGAAACGTCGAACCACGACTCCCAAGACCACAACCGACCGGTGGTCCACACTGCCGATTCCTGCTCTTCTCCAGCTCTGCATCCACCGCCGCGCAATCGTCCCCCATTCCTCGATCGTTTCCTACCGGTCACGACACTTTCCATCGTCAACATGCGCTACCATGCTGCAGCGATCAAGATCGTCGTGGTGAGACCAGAGACAATCGTCGCAGCCGCAATCCGGCGAGCAAGAAGCCAAATCTGATGAACAGAGCGTCAGCACGTCGTGCCACAACTGCGCTTGAAGTGCGGGAGTGTCTTCGGCTTGCACCGAGTCGTTGCTTTGGAGGATGGAAGTCTTGGAGCCGGAAGCATAAGCGTTGTTGTCGCTACTGTCGCTAGGATGGCTTTTCGCTGTGTGAAATGACGAGGTGCTGGCTGAGCCCGTGCCGCTCACGGGGGAGCCAGCATCAGCGCCAGGCCCGGAAGCACTGATACCGATGACAGCACGAAGCGGGACATATCGGCTTGGCTGGGTCTTCGTAACGTGGTAGGATGCAGTGGAAGACACCGGTATTTTGGACTTGTATCGATCACGACCAACGGAACCACCTTCGGGGCGCGAGACGGGGATCCTGGAGATGCTGTTTTGGGCTCTGTCGATTGCGGGTCCATTGACCGTATACCTTGCCAAGTCCGCCACCTTGGAAGTCTTGCATAGGTCCACACGGCCAGAAATAGCAGAGGGACCACAAGGAGGCTTCACATCCTCTTCACCGTCAATAATAGCGCCACAGCTGCTACTGGTACTGATCTCACTCCAAAAGCTCTTGACGGCGTGGAAGGAAGAGCTCGACGCTGAGCTCGCGATCGGCAGCTTGGAGACATGGGTCTTGGATGGAGGAGTGGAAGCACGATCAACGGCAGAAGTCGCGTCACTTGGACCCGGATCTGACTTGATGGGAGAGGAAGTCTTGGATGAAGAAGAATGGCGATTCTTGTTACTGCCACTGCTGATGTCACTCCAGAAACTTTTCGCGGACTGGAATGAAGAGGTTGAGGAGGATGATGGAAGCGATGGTTCGCTATTCTCGGCCACGACCACGGCGGAAGTGGGCCTGGCTTCGGGAAGATGGGGAGGGACGGTGCCCCGACGTCTAGGCTTTTCCTTCAAGTATGAGAAGGAGGTTGGTTGACATAGGGAGGGTTGCTCTTGGGTGATCAGGGTAACAGGGCGCTGCTCAGGACGGCGGCTATCGGGGCTGAGGGTGATAACCTCGGGTTGGCCTTCAAAGGAGAAACTCCTAGCTGGTGGCTTGGCCTTGTACCTGGAAGTCAGCGTGGTCAATTCTCCCCAGGGATCGGTGATATCTTACCTGGATTGCCGGAGCGGAACTAGAAGAGGGAATGGTCTTTGGCGATTGGCGTGTTGACGTATTGGTGGGCGAAATTCGCAGCGGAGCCGGCATTGCCTGAGGAATGAGGGGACTCAGGGGCCGTTGAAGAGACTGGGCATCTTGAGGCGCCAATACCAACTCGATGGTGAAGCTCGGAGTTGGACGACGGTCGAAACGGGACGGCTTGGAGGTTTTCACGCCTGCACCGCGGCGCTTGGGTCGTGGGATGCTTGAAGGCCTGTACCGGCGGATGGTACAAGACCGGTTTTCCCCTAGAGTTTCGTTCCCATCGTTCTTCGGTTTCTCAGAGTCCCTCCTATTTCTCTCCGATCTTATCCTTTCCGGAGTTGGTTGTTCAAGCGGATCTGCCCATCGTACCGTCTTCTTCGTTATGCGCCGCGCCGAAGCACGAGGATGTGGTGTTGTCGCCCGGGTCCGGGGAGGGGGAGGGGATCTGATCCTCCTTCTCAAGTCGTCGATTAAGGGGCTGTCGCCCTTTGGGTAGGCTTCGGCGACATCATCTTGGCGGCGGTGCTCGACCTGGTGCGGAGTCGGACGTCTGTACCGAGATCCGGGGTATGCATGTGACCCTTCCGTCGTGCCGTCTCTTTTCTTCGAGGTGTTCGACTGAGGCAGGGGTTGACCTTCCCGACGTGCGGTTCGCAGTTCGTGGAAGCGATCTGGCTTCTTGTCCGAGGTGTCTGATCGGTGCAGGGGCTGAACACCCTCCTTGCGCGCTGTGCGCAGCTCGTCAAAGTGATTGAAGGTAGACATCTAGTAGTTCTTAGCATCTCGTGGACTTTATACTATCTCGATGCTGAGAAGGAGGCTACCTTGTTATGGTGTAATAATGTTGCGATGTTGTGGTCGTGGTTGAGCAAGGTGCGTTCGATCATTTGTCGGATTGCGATGACGATGATGCAAGAAGAGAACAATCACCGTCCCTCACACCTACGAATCGATGGGATATATCCCATGGCCAAGGTTGACTGTCACCACCGTTGACCATGGTCGCCTCCTCTGAACAACGTTCGTCTCCATGGCGACTGGTGGTTTTGTTTGCCTAAAATGGTGAACAGCTGTGAACAGCAACACGGTTCATGAACATCAGAATTCGCGAATAACAGTGACCGTTGACTCCCACCACTGTTCAAGGACAGGCAGTATCGCAAACATGAGGGGGTTACTAGTATCTATGAGTGGTAAAAGAACAGGAAAGATCAGAACGATGATCAAAAAGTGTTCAATAAACCTGTTATACAGTCGCGAAGGGAATAGGCACGGGAGGAGACACTCGTTGAGAAAAAGACTTCGGCTTAACTTGTGACGGATATATAAAATACAGATGTCCTGTTCGATTCATATATCCCAGCTCCGAGTCCATTGATGCTCGTCTCCTATTTCCGGGCAGTGAAAATGGTTGTCGCGACGGCATGGATGGTTGGACAACTAAAGTGAGTAAGATGTATACCTATCTTAAGTGCTGCCTTTTTCGGTGGCTTCCTGTTAGTGAGGTAACAGTCTGTCAAAGGCACGCGATTGGAGTACCTATTAACGGGACCGACATCATCACTGTCATCACTAGGTACGCACATCAGAGCACAATCAACAAGTTAAACGCAATAAAGAGGAGGATAACCCAAGTTTCATCATTTGTACCTGCATCGAGGACTATAAATCTCTCCTTCCGTCCTGAAGACGGCTTCCTCTGTTCACATAGCCGGGTCTGGTTAGGTTACCCTCATTTCCGGCAGGCATGCTGTGCATCTCACCTCTCCTTCCGGCTCCCATGACCTGCATAGTTCCTCCTTCTGTTTTCCTTCCTTTCTCTATCATTTATTTCTTGCCCAAGTCTCTTCCGATTCCATCTACGCCCTCCTCGCCCTACACTTCCGGCTCTCCCCAACTGTCGCCACAGTGCTGCAGCCCGCTACATCCTTTTCATTGCTCCAGTGGCAATCGTCGCAGTCGCAGTACCGCTCTTCTGGAGGCACTGAGGAGGAGTCCGAGCAACAGAAGTTCATGAGTTCATTCCAGAGCTCGGATTGGACGGTCGGGATGTATTCAGCTGTCATAGAGGTACAGCTGGCGGTCATTGAGCTTGGGTTGCTGGTAACGATGTTACTCGTGCTGGTGTTGTTGGAACCGCTGAGGTGGCTTTTCGCAGTGTGGTAACTCGTTGAGGAGCTGGCAGTACTCTTGGAAGCGCTACTGATACTGGAGGAGCCATCCCGGGAATGCTCTTGAATATGTAGCTGGAGGGAAGAGGTCGTGCTCTTGCTACATCCGCCAGATGCGGTCCTTTCACGCTTTGCTACCTCTAGATGATAAGGCAACACCGACGAGCTCCGAGGTAACCGGGACCCACTCGTGACGCGCGCGGCAGTCGACGACACCGAGCCACTCACGCCAACCTTACTACGAGCACCACGCTTCTCGCTCGAGCGAGTATCTCGATTGACCGTAGAGGTATATTTGGACAGTCTCGACACCATCGACGTCTTGGACAAATCCTTGTCCTTGCTACTACTACTGTTGAGCATGGACAAAGCAGGCTTAGAACTGAGGTCGGGACCAGGTCCGGACACGATAGCGCCACAGCTGCTGGAAGTGCTGAGGCCGCTCCAGAAAGACTTCGCCGAATGGAAGGACGAGACAGAGGCTGACGAGGGTAGTGCCTTCGGTTTGGATGGACTACTGTAACCGGGAAGAGCATCTACTGTGACACCAGGCTTGGAAGTAATGGACTTATTGGAAGTACTGCGGTCACTGTCACTACCGCTGGCACTGGTACTACTACCCTTCTCCTTCCAAAAGGTTTTTACGTCATGGAAGAATGGAGTGAAAGATAAATTGGGTAGTAGAGAGCCAGTTAGTTCAGGTTTGGTCGTCAGAGGGGAGCAGGAAGCAGCTGGAGAAAGGTTCTTGAGTTCGCTGCCATCTTCCGCACCACATGCAGCTGGTCCACGCTCGGCATTAGGGGATGTCGGACGGGTCCTGGTGGTACCGGCACGCTTGGGCTTCGTTTGCAGGTATGAGGTTGACTCATACTGCGACAAGTTGTTTCTGGTGATGGCGGATGGGCGATTCTGCTGGACAGAGCGGGAGCTAACGGTAATCACCTCTGGCCTGTGATCGAACGAGAAGTCTCGTGCTGCTGTTTTGCTCTGGAAGATAAAGTGGTTAGCTTGATTGGCCCTATCTCATCTTCGTCTGGGATGTTAGCAGTGGCTTACCGTAATTGCTGGGACAGGAGTTGATGATGGGATAGCGTTGATCCGGGTTTGGCGGTGAGAGAGCTGCAACGGCGCGGGAACGGCTGGAGGTATGAGGGGGCTTAGTGGTCGTTCTGGAATGACTATCTGCCTCGGCTTTTCCGACGTCATGATGGTGCGCTTTGGTCTGGGGATGGACGAGCGCCTGTCTCGGCGCAAAGTGCAGGGTTTGACTTTCTGCGATGCTGATGTGTCATCGCTCTTCTGCTTGGCTGGCGCTTCTGAGAAATCTTCAAGTGAATCCTCCTCTTTCTGTGTTGACTTCTCATCCTCCTGCTGGATTGCTTGACTCCTCTTCATAGCTGACTTCTTCTTCGATGGTGCGGGCACTGGAATGCTTTTCTGCTCGGGCGACTCCTGCTCTAATGGATCAGTCCACTGGACTGCTTTCTCCTCCTTTCTGCGGCGTGATTTGGTGGCACTGGGATGAGGGGTGGGGGCCCGAGTGCGAGTAAGCGTCCATGTCGATGATTGTGATCTACCTCTCGGCGAGTCGGCTGGCGGACTGTCATCTTTAGAGGCGCGTACTCCTTCGTGCCGATAGTGCTCAATCGAGTATGGGGTTGGATGACGAAGTCGAGATTGGTTGGCCTTGGGGGACTCGGGCCTCTCGCCGACGACGGCGAGCTTGCTGAGTTGGCGATAGAGCATCCTGATATCCCTACTGAAATCTTTGATAAGCGAGGATACCGATGAATAGGTGGCGATTGCGGCGTTGCAGTGTTGCGTTCGTCGGTTGTGGGTGGTGGTCCACCGAGACAAGTTTGTATTGTCACTGTTGTTGTGATAATGCAAGAAGAGAACCATCCCCATCCCTCCCACTGACGGAATCCATGGGATATACCCCATGGTCAAGGTCGACAGTCGCAGTGAGCTGTCGGTATGGTGACTGTTGTTGCTATTTACTTCATAACCTGTCTTTCTGCCGAACTTCAGCACTGTTCATGAACATAACTCCAAGGCAGCAAGGCTGAAGAGGGAGGTAGGTAGTATGTTCAACGCCAATCTTCATTCAGTTACTGGTCTTACGTGATAGAGGTAGAGGTTGAACGACGAAGGTAGCGGCTAGGTTTTAACACATACATATATATATATATATACGGTTGTAGACGATACCTTACCTCTATGCTATAGACGATGCGGGCCGAGTTGAGGCAGCACTGGCCAGAACACCATGATCCGTCAACTCAAATAACAGGGTAGGGGAGAAACATCACGGCGATTTTGGACCGTCAAGCCAAAAAGCAAGAGTAACGCTGACAAGGCCGATTCGACATTTGGCACACGATTTTCCGAGGGGAACCAGAAGGAACAAATACTGTAACAAGATCCTCAGTTGAACTTACTCGGGACACTCGGCGATAAGAGTACATTAGCGGACAAATGACTTATATGGATGAAGATTAATATGAATAATATTGAATGAGCATCAGATCCACATACTCTATGGTAGCCCACTTCGAGATTCTTCGTTCAGTTTTAGGAGGTGAAAATGAGCGTCGCCGATGGCATTGCCAATCGAGAGTACAGTGTACACGACGGTCACCCAGCCAAGATACGTCCCTATCGCAGACGCTGCACTTTTCGGCGAAACTGAGTTAGTGGAGTAACTTTATTGAATCGAGACTGTTTCCGTGCCATCGCTTGATGTTAATCGTCCGTCCGTCGTCCTCGTACATTTTCATTGCACGAAGTAATAGGAATGATACCAATGAGCAAATGTTTACTCTTCTTTATTTGGCCATGCTTGGTCGTGCCTGGTAGAAATTCGGGGCTTCCAAGTTCAATGACTGCATGAACGGGATGAGATTATACGATATCGCAGATAGGCCCAATTATGCTACTAAACTGCTAGTGTGATAACATGCTGGGCAGTAGCTCTCATACCCCGGGCCGCTATCGCAGTCGGCCCTCCGTCGCCGAAAACCGAACAATTCCGACATTGGCACGTCACCGCTGCCATTCAGTCGCTTCTTCCAGTCAATTGACCATGTTGCCTTCCTGCTAGTTTTCTTCCCCCACGGTTCGCAATCGCAACGGGAATTTACAGGTAACTGCTTTCCCTCCACTGGTAGAGAGCTCTTCATTTCAGCTTCGTCCCAATCCCCAAAGCCTCCCGTGATCCTGTCCTGGTGTTTTATCTCGTGGCGGAGGCAGAGACGCAATCTACTGGGTCTCCAAGCGCTTCAATGGCTGGGATTTCACCCCTTCAGTTTTCTTAAGGCCCTCCACTGGTTTCTTGATGGGCGAAGGGTTGCCTCTGGAGGGCATAAGTCTTTCACGATGTGAATTGTTTCCGTCTCCTGGAAGTCTTCGCTGTGGTAGAGGTATAGGCGTACTCGTCGGTTGGGTTTTCGACTGCCTCACCCGCTGATCCTTTGCCTCTTCCCTTCCACTTTCCTTTACTTTTCCACGGCTAGGTCCGATTGTCCCTTCCTTGGAATTTATCCCCTTCTTCATCCCTTTGATGGGATTTGCACTCTGTTGTCCATCGACCTTGTCATCCTTGTTGTTGTCATTTATATACTTCGTCTCGTCCTCCGCCGTGTCGTTCGAGGTGTCGTCCGAGGTGTTGTCCGGTATGACATCCCTCGCCTTGTTCTTCCGCGCTGTTTTCTCCTCTGCCTCCTTCCTGCGCCCCCTCCCTCCTCTCCCGTCTCTCCTGTCTAGCTCGCTGTCCGGCTCTCTCAACTCGCTTCGCCTTCTTCAACCTTTTTGGTTGTTTCTCTCCCCTCATCTCCCTTCATCGCCCATTCCAGCGTCTCCCTCCGAATTATTCCCTTTGCAACGTCTCCAGTCTTTTGGGTGACCCACCACTCCGATCCTCATACCCTCCCAAAAATCGACACAACATCACCAACTCCTCTCTTTCCAGCATTTCCTCGTCTTTTCCCTTGCTCTCAGTCCCAGTGTCTTCGTCATTGCCGAACAAGAATTCATCCGGCACCTCCCCGGCGTCAACCGGCGTCGTCCATCCTCGGAGGTTCTTGTACCTCTAGTAGGTAAGCAAAAATCACTCCGCAAGATTGGGTTGCATCGTACTCCTCCTCCAGGTCCATTCCGACGCTGTCAGCACAGAGATAGTCGTGATAGCGCTCACGGCATGGTGAACAGACGCTGAATTGGATCTCGGTTAGGGTCATCAACGGCTGACTGCAGGTCGTCTGTGCTCTTATGGAAGGGGAGCTTTGGATTAGAATATCGGTGTAAACGCCGAACATGTTGCTCCTCTTTCGTTGTTGAATTTCTCAATTGCCGACATTTCCCTAGCATCACCAAGCAATTGTCTTTTCCCCGTTGAAACAGCAAGGAAAAGGTAGCAAGCTAGCTACGGTATTTTGCTTGGCGAGTTGCGTTATTGATGATTTGGGTCGTAATATTTTGCTTGGCGGGCAGGTTGAGTTTGGGTTCCTACACGACTTAACACCGTAGCACCTGCACCCATGTGGATGCTATCACACCACACATTTTCTCTGCCAGAGGCACAGTGTGTACAGGTATATGTAACGACAACAACACCCGAGGTCCAGGTTTCTAGTTCGTGGAGATTCGGTTATTCTCAGCGAATTCTTCCTTATTACCCGAGACAAAAAATACAACCCCGCGCGCCTAATGGACGTTGACCCTTGGAAACACTGGATATTTGGTCAGTTGACCTTGAGGTGATATCGCTCCGCATGTTGGTGGTTGAGAAGCTCCTTCTGGCCGTCAGCCCGGGGCTTGTGTGGCGCCAAGGGTGCCGCCGATCTTTGTGCTGTGCTTCAGTCATTCGGTTCCAGGCGGCCGGGTCCGTTGTTTGGCCATGGGCAGATCCGTGCCGCAGATACCCCATGGGGCTGTGTGTTACATAGTCGAAAGGACACAAAGAGAACCAGCCACCGGTCAAGAGTCCCAACTTGTGAAGCTCCTATTTGCTTGTTTTACCAGTACTCAGCCCAGCATCACTGCCTCAGGTTGAGTACATTGTGGCTCTTTATAGGTTCGACTTTTCCGGACAACGCTGCAGCACCCTTCATCATTTTCCTTTCCCAGCGCCCTTTACTTCACCACCCTCTGCAATCACGATCCGTCAACTTGAGCAAAGACTTCCTTCTTCATCCGATCTGCCGTCACAGACACATCGCCGGTATGTCAATCCAAATGTTTTCAGTCATTTCAATGAATAGAGGTACCAACAACGAAACAGTTAAAATGTCCGTCAACCGCACTTGCTCCCACGATGCCCTCCCCGACCTCAACGGCATCCCCGGTCTACCCATGGGCCGTAGCGTTTGGGTTATTCCCAATTGGAATAAATCGTTCGTGGGCATGACGGCATGTTGTGCGCCCAACGAGGTGCATATCGGTGGCGGGCCGGGGTTTGAAGAATGCATCTTGTGGTGCTTGATTCCCGATTCAATCCTCAAAGACAAAGATGGGAAGAAGGGCGAGACGGGCGAGGTTCTTTCCGCCATGAGACAATGTGTTATGGCCAAGGGCGGCGTTGAGAGCTTTATTAGTGGCGGGCAAGTAAAGGACAACGCGGCAAGTTCAAACGTTATGGTGGGTGGTACGAAGACGACGAAATTGCTCGGGGTAGGAGTCTGGGTATTGTTAGCCGTTGGCTTGCTGGCTTGAGGGCTTACTGAATCCCAACTTAATTCATCAATGTACCTCTACACCAAATCCCGTTCAAGCATCATGGCTCTCAGCTTATCATCCCCCATGTACATTACGTCCATTTGTTGAATCGTCGCGTATAATTTCGAAAAGCGGCATCATGGCCACCAGGGCTAAGATTTGTCCAAAGCCCCATTGATTCTCAGGCCGCGGGCTGGTAGGTCGGTGGGGGGTTGCGGCTGAGCTTTAAGTGAGAAAATTCATAAAAGGGACTATATCATCAAGCTGAGGGAGTAAGAAGTAAACAGGTCAATTAGAGGTATGTATAGGTGATGAAGGTAAAGGAAGATAATCACAGAGGTCAAGTCAAGCTTGAACCGGACGGCAACGAGGAGTGGTGGCCCAGGACTAGTAGACACCTCAGTTCTGACGTCTTTAATAGGAGAAGGAGGAATAGCAAGAATACTGGATAGCTCTTCCCTACAGTTAAGCTTGATAGAGGTAAGGTTGCAAGAGAAAGCATGATTGTACACTATGGTGTTTGTCTAGCAAATGCATCCACAACGGAGACGGCACTTATGGAGGCTGGCTTTTTAGCATCCACAGAATAAGATGACGCGCTATCTGGATGGCTGCTAAACGTGGTGTGAAAACGATAGTGCAGTAATGCATTCCGTGCTTTCACGTCTCCCGCCCTGGATTTGGCTTGTCTGTACACCCTTCCCAATCAATGTTTGTTATTGGCATTGCCTTTCAGGACATTTAGCAAATCCTTACACAAAAACTTGATTCACAAAGAGCAACATCACCGGCGGGTGAACTCATTTTACTATCACAATAGGTACCTCTAGGTAACCACAAGGCCTCGAAGCGCTAATCAGCTTGCCTGCAACCGCCTAAACTACAGCGCCTCATCCCTTCCCTAACGTGCCCCAGCGTTCATCCAGTCTTCCAATCCCAGGGACCGTTCCACCAACTTCCTTTTCTCGACCCCAAGCCGAGACTAAGCCCCTCTTCCCTTTTTTTTCTTCCCTTTCAATTCCTTTTGCTCACTTTCATCATCCCAGAATAACAACCAACCCTTTGCAAAATAGATTATACCTACTCACCCCTCTTCCACTCGCTCGTCTTCGCCCATACACAGCTCGAACATCCACAAAAGCGATACCTGATTTCCGGCCCCGTGTACTTCGACGGCAGACCCAACGAGCCGTGCGCGAGGAATTCGTCCCATCGTTCCGAGTAGGCACTCCGCGAGTATTGCGCCTTTGTGTTACTCAAAGATGAGACTGTTGAAGAGACAGTAGTTCACGGCCGTCGTCCTCCGAAACAAAGGGAGGTCTGTACTCGCTTTTCTTTGGCCTTCCTTTGGCTCCTGGACTTCTCTGGCCTTCGATTATCTTGACCCGAGTCAGGACAGGGGACGCCCACGAGACACGTCTTTGGTTTTTCTTGGGTTCGCTACCTCGAGTTACTCCGCTGCTGGATTGTGGCGAAGCACAAGGCAGTGGCGAGAACCCCTCCACTGGTTTTTCATTTGGCGAAGGAAAGATGCTGAGAGGCGTGTCTACGCCTATTCAGGTGTTGGATACCTAGAGGTAGTTGACATGATGACAGATGACGTCCCAGACATGAAGATAATGACCGTCATAAAGGTGGATGGCTACGCTGACGAGGGGTCCCCGTTCGTAGTAGGTAGAGGTAGTTTCACTGTCAACTCTTTGACCTTTTATTCGCTTGATTGCGCCGGGAAATCCGAGCCACACTCGGAGAGAACAAGAGATTTTGAGAACTTTGGTATATATGAGCGTGTCAATTGACCTGGAATAATGTCAAAGTTAGGAAACGAATAGTGTACCGAATCAAAAATTTATATATGGTCGACCGTTATCACAATGCCAGGAAACATGCTCTTCTACACTTGACTCCTATGGAGTTACAAGAACAAGTACTGTAGGCTTGGTTTGTGGATATTTACTGTAATAGCTACTTACTACCATGAAACAGCTCGACCACAATTGCCGGCTTTCCCCGACATCACCAAGTGTACAAGTGATTGTGACATTGTGTTTTCTATAGCAACCGTGAATGAACAGAACGCAAAAAAGTGTGTAAATGTAAGCGACAGGAAGGCCGAAAAATGATTGCAAGACAGATCAAAAAAACCAAGGAAGAAACATACAGACTTCCTGATCCACGGAATGCCCATCTTGATAGACTCGGCAAGATCCAAATCCCCCGGCCTGGCATTTTCCGGTACCGTAATGGTGTTGAAGTTCTTCGTCTCCGTAGAGGTAGTGACTTCGGGTGCGGGCGGATGGTGGTGTGATGTTACCTGTACCTCGATGATAGAGCACTATCAGTCAGTTACGAAACGTCGGTCAGATCCTGTTAAGGGCACATCTATCTTATTCTATGCACCCGGAACATGGAGACGGCAACGGGAAAGAGCTATGTCTCCATTCTTTTTGCCTGGCTTCAAGTTGGGTTTGGCTGTCGCCATTTCTTGCCTTCAGCGTGTTAGTGCTATCCCACTATCTGGCACACCGGAATAAAAACAGTCTGGCTGATAAGATTCCATCTCAGTCTCAAGCTCCACGCTGATTGGGGGAGAAGAAAAAGTAGATGATGATGATGATGATGACGAGGAGGAGGAAGAGGGGAGCGATGATAGCGACAGTTCTTGGGACTTCTTGTCTGAAGAGGATGGTTTGTCGAGAAATGTTGGAGGATGAACTGGTTGCAGGTTAGGTAGACTCAGAGACAGGACCGACTTGTCGGTCTTGACTGGCAAAAGGGACCGTACTAGTCAAGTCGAGTAGGTATAGATAGACTTCCAGGAGTCCACCAAGACTCTCTCCATCCCGAGAACATTACAAGAGTGCACGATACAAATTTACTACTAAGTCTTTAATCAAGCCTAGAGGTACTTATAGTCGGGATTTGCCGCATCGGGAAAAGAGTCTTTCTGTTTAGGGGCAAACTCATGATCGTCAAACTTCTCGCACTAAGGTTAAAAATATTGTTAGCTACCTACCTACTCTTCATCTCCCCAAGCTTCATGCTGCCTTTTCAGGATCTTGCCTGCCACCAATGCTACCAACAAACATAGACCCGACAGCCTTAGTCTTGAAGTAGCTCGGAAAGTGTGGCTACCTACAATACCTCTCTCGCTTCATCTCGAGGAAAAAATATCCTAACTGTTTGGCCAGCATTTCTTCTTTCTACTTCATCCATGAACCACTTTCTGCGGTCTTCCTCATCAGCGAGATGTGAGCTCAAAAACAGCCTATCAAGAAGCTCGTCAATGATAGATCCCGCCACATCCTGTTTGAACATTCTGTTATAAAGGTCGCCAGTCTCACTCCAGTTGAATGGGAAGGCTCGATGATCGGCGAGCCATTTGTGAGCATCCGCGGAGGTCATCGATGTTTCGGCCTGCAAGATTGTATCGAGTTGAACGGCGAGTCCTTGCCATAGCAGTCTCCCGTTCTTATTCTCGAGTAACGAACAGATCGCTTCCGATTGGGAGCCACTTGGTGAAACGCTGACATCGTCGATGCCACTGCTCTGATGCCTCCTTGTAATGAGGATTACTTTCCTATGCACAGGATGGCGTTCAAGGTTTGCACGAGCGTCATCGTAACCACGAGCGCAATCATGTCCTTCCACCTTGTCCGTCATACGAGTCTTGCCATTATCTGCAGGAGTTGAATGGGCTTTAACAACACAATGTGCAAATCGGATCAGTTGAGCAATATTGCACTCAATGACGATCTCATCTGCGTCGGCATTGCTGTTGACATCATCGTAGTCAGGACATCCCCATACAGTGCCCCCAAAGGAAGAATGGCGGGAAAGTCGAACAACGAAATTGATTCGTGAATCCAGGAGAACAGCCTTGGTCCTCATAAATTCCCAGGTAAGATTCTCAAAAGCAGCGTAGTCATAGATTGCGCTGTTTTGATTACCATCGCTTTCCCAGCCAGCTGCGCAGAAGCTCTCTGTGTCGTTTGGCCTTTTGTTCGAGTGTTGGATGCCAGACGCTGTACATTCGTACATGATTTTCACCAGCATGATCGAGAACCTGTCAGGGTCTTCAGGTTGAAGACTCGAGGGCTCCCTTATATTGAGGGCAACGTAATATATCTCCCGAGAAATGAGTTGGTAGACAATGTCGAAAGTAATAGGAATTGTCCGTCTCATACAGAACCACCACAGAATCAGGCTTTGCACACTTGCCACATCTAACTCGATGCCTTTGACTCTCAAGATTCCACACAAATGTTCAGTCAATAGACCCGAATCGAGTAATGAGCCCGTTAGAAAAGCTCGAGCTTCTATAAAAAGCCACGAGGTGAATTTAAGGTAATCAAGCACGATGCGCTTGTCACCATCAGCAAGTAGTTGGTCAGGAATATGAACCGGCCAGACTACTCGGTTGGCATGGGCTTTAGAAAAGCCGTCCAAACGAAGCAAGCCAAAGTCCGGCTTTCTCCGCCTAGCATTGAACTTAAGAAAGGCTGCGGATCCTTGGGAATTTTGCCTAGTGAAAAGCAAAAGATTGGTAATAAACTCACTCCAAGTCCCGCCGCCAGTGCTCTGACGCAGGTCAAGGATGGAGTTGTGAAGAATAGCGGTGATGATTCGGTACCGGTCCAGTAACCGACTAGGCATTTCCTCGATGAGTCTTGAGAGTTCAGACTGCTCATTTTCGAAGAAATAATTGGTTGCCTTCTTCAATGTGTCCACACGCTGTTCCAGAAAGTTAGGGTTCCACGTCCCGTACACCAAATACCGTGAGATCAAGGACTGGACGAGTTTGGTATAGAGTTGGTGATTTGTCAAAGGACAGCTCCCCATTATCGTTTTGCCGAGCGGTTTGTCAAGTAAAAAGTCCCTGGCTGTTCGGTGAATGAAAACAACCTGGGTGCAAAACACGGTCTCCCAGAGGTTGATCAGGTCACGGGCTGGAGGTAGCACCTGTTCCTTGCTGCCCTTATCAGGAGAGAAAAAGGCGGATAGAGGCATAAGGAGCAATCTGAACCAAAACGAAGGCTCAAGTACAACATGATCCCACCCGCGGGGTGCTTCCGTGTCGCGAATCTCCAGAAGACCGCCGCAGCACAACTGAATCCGCTGGCGGGTGTTGTTGATTGCGGTGAGCAATTCCCCCAATACCAGAGTTCCTTTGTTGAAGAGAATATCTCGGCGTAAGCTGTCCATGGACGCAACCGCTATGTTGAACAATGAGAGATTGGAATCAAGAGAGTCGCGGGACACAGAGAAGGTGGAACCTGTGTCTGTGGATGTTCGCCTGTGCATCGCAAGGCTGTCGGCAGAATATAGCTCATTCCATTGAATCACGAGTTGAAAGTATTGTGCCGCCTCCACACGGTAATCTTCCTCGTCGTCGCCGTGCCTTTTCCACGTTTCCATGTACAGATTTTCAACACCCTGTGGTAGCTTCTCGATTCGCCTTAAAACCTCATCCAAAGTGCCGATGGTCTCTCGTCCGTTATGGATTCTGCGTAGGACAAGGCGAGCCCAAAGAAAGACGCCCTCTGACCGGTCGATAACCAGGTTTATGATCTTCTCACGAATTGCTTCCTTGTTGCTTGTCTGAACTCCTGTAGTATCAGAAAGCGAGAAGTCTTTGAGGAAGTCTCTGACTGTAGCAGAAATATCATCCCTGTTTAGATCCTGTAGCCGCAGTTTGGGTAAGACTCTTTTTAGTATTGCCTCGAGTTGGACTTCTGGGCGGCTGGCAACACAAAGCTTGATCTCAGGCTCTGCTTGCAGTAGATCTTTCAAAACCCGATTAAATTCCACCCTGTCGTCGCTGTCAATCTCGTCAAGTCCGTCAAGGAATACGCAAACTCGTTTGTTGAGAATGTGGAGCGCCTTTGAGAGCACTTGTCTAAGCTCCGCCGTGGACCACTCATCGGCCCGGGACTGTCGCGAGCGGTTATCGAGAAACGAGCAGTGAGGGATTAGTTGGTCGACGAGCCCCTGTTCTTCCTTGAGCAGTTGGTATACCAAAGAGCATAGAAGCTTATGCAGACTCCTTTGATCTTTTGTCCCGGAAATCCACAGGAAGTGAGACAGGATGATGGGATGGCCTGACCAACTGCTGAGTCTTTGTCTAGTCCGCTCGTCTCTAACAAGCAGCTTCATCAAAGTGCTTTTGCCTGAGCCAGGCTTGCCCTCAATCCAGTAGATCCTCTCACTTGACCCAAGCCATTCGACAAAGTTGTCCCACTTGCCATGCTTTTCGCTACTGAAGATCCACCCCAAGGTCTTCTCGTGGGATTCGCTGACATGATCTCTTCTCGAGTTCAGATCAGGGAAGGCCAGGCTTTTCAAAATTTCGTCGCGTTTCAATTTTGTTTTAGCTCCCGTCTTGTCTTTTGCGGCAGATTGAGAGTCAAGCCTATTGGACAGTCACGTTAGGCTTCCTATTCTCTTGATAATACGTATGTAAGGGGCTGCATACAATAGTTTCTGGAGTATACTAGTTTGAAGTGTATCTTCGGCCCGCTTCATGTTCCTTTCAAGGTCTTCGAGCTTTGACCTCTTGACCAGTTTTCTCAATGCTCGTACCATTGGATGCTTCTTGGAACGCAACGTCAAAGGGGGCGAAGTCTCATTGTCTTTGTTGCTGCTTGAGCTGGCCTCCGACTTCTTGACTCCAAGCGTTTTCCTCAGTCGGAATATGGCGAGGTTCAAGTAATGTCTCAAGCCAGAGTCCACCGTATTGGTTCTCCAGTCAATTCTGTCAAGCTCGTTGAGCATAGCTCGCGCAGCGATCAAGCACTGCTGTGCCGCCTTCTGAAGTTGTTGCTGCTCTTCGGTGCAGACACCGGCTGACTCTGAATCAAGTGTCGATAAGGACTTCTGCAGATTTTGGGACACGCTCAACAGATCCTCTGACTTCTCCTTTAAATCGTGATCGGATGAGCCGGTGTGAGCAATCTCCTGGGTCAAGCTGATGAGTTCGCGAGTGAAGCTGATGATTTGAAGAGTGCCGGTGAAGACACCCAAAATCGTTGCCGGATCCGCCATTGTGCCATGGGCCGGGGGAAGCCAGCTTGCCGTGTCGTTAAGGAGAGTATGAGGGAAATTGGAACAGAAATCACGGTAATGTCTTGCCACGACAGGATGTAAGTAGGTAAGCTTCCGGAAGTTGAAGGTCTTCAGAGATGATCTTCCACCCCTCGATGCTCGACCTACGTCATTATTGGTTGTTGTGCCTCCCAAGATCCTTTTCAGCGCGCCAACTGTCATCTGCCCATTGGGCAGATCTCCGCCCACGAATGCAACATACCTACCTGGAGTTGGTCCACTTCAGCCTGGATTCCATAGCAAAACGACGCCCAACTTCCCTCACATTGCGAGTAAGATCGGATTCGTCTTGTTCTCTCCGTCCTACGGGCCGCTGTGGGGTTCGGGCTCTTCAGCTTTCTATCCCGGGGCTGGTTCGTTCATCGTTGATCTGTGGATGATCCAATTGAGCCGGATCTGTGCGGAATCCTTGTCGGAGTAGGTGCGACACATCCTAGACGATCCAGGCCAGTGGTGAGGTTGCGCTTAACTGAAGAGGACGAGAGAGGTTTCTCCGTCACAGTCTGGAATATCGTGAAAGTGGTTTGGAAGGGTTGGCCACGACTATTGCCTTGAGGTCTGGGCTGGCAGGGGGGCATATCCCATCAATCGTCTTATCGGACGTCTTATCACGCTTATCTGATAAGATTCTGGTGCAGGCCCAGAAGTCAGACATTGGGACAGCCTCTCCCAAGTTCAACATCGATCTTTCATGATTTCCTTTGTCCAACTATCCGTTGGGTACTCGATCAAATTTGATTGAATGTCAGCATCTTGCTGCCTTCATAAACCATCGACGTCTCTTAACCATCACCATGATTTCCACTCAGGTGGCATCGCTGTCAGCTTATCATGTGACTTCAAAGGGGTGGCCTTAGTTTTAGTGTATTGAAGCGTGCTTCAACTACCTATGCAGAGGAGGTGGATGACTTTCACAGTCTTGGGGTCAAGGACCCACATCCACCGGAGCGGCCTGTTGAAGGACGGTTCGTCTACAGTCGGGTCCCCTGTTCAAGCAACCCCCAGTACGAGCAACCCCCCCTGTTGTAGCAACCCCCATAGCGAAATCTGGCATTTTTTGCCTGGTAAGCGCAACCGGACAACTAGCAACCCCGGAGAGACAAATTTGCTATTAATTTGTAGGGTGAATCGGAAAAGCGGGGTACGCAATAAGGAAAAGTTGGCTTGGCATGCCAGTTTTGGTGTATTTTTTTAGGCGGCCTGGAAGGAAAGAGGTCTGTGCACGACACCACTTCCAGCAAACCCCCCTGTTCGAACAACCCCTTTAGCCAAATTTTTGGGGTTGCTAGAACAGGGGACCCGACTGTATAAGTCAAGTCTTCGTACAAATAGTTTCCTGTCCTCTTATTGGCTCAAAGTGTGGCACGGCCCTATGCCTAGTCAGGGCGTTTTGCCAAGCTACTTCTTATTGGTCAACTCGCGGACAGTGTCGACGATAGTCTGCGCTAGAATACACTGGGTCCTTCCGTTTCTGAAATTCTTTACATACTATATCTTTCGATAAGTACCGCCCATCGATAAGGTTATCGTTCGTCTTCTACATTAGGGATCCAGCATCGCATCGGTGTCTGAAAACTATTGAGGAGGAGGAAGAGGAGGAGGAAGAGGGGAGCGATAATAGCGACAGTTCTTGGGAATTCTTGTGAAGAAGATGATTTGATGAGAAATGTTGGAGGATGAACTGGTTGCAGGTTAGACTCAGAGACAGGACCGACTTGTTGGTCTTGACTGGCAAGAGGGACCGTACTGGTCAAGTCGAGTAGAGGTAGGTACCTAGGTACCTCTACTTTGAAATGCCCGAGTTGCAAGGACGAGCTTTTCTCTTTCCTCTTACACTCTTCCTTCCCATTCTCTACCTCGAAGGGAAGGTACCTACCTCATGTTCATTTCGTACTGGCTCAACCTGCGGCACTTGAGGCAGGTAGTATAGGCCTCCTATCCAGATATACTTCTTCCTTTACCAAATTTAGCATTACCAGCATAAGGTAGGTAGCTTCCCAGAATGAAGCAGTTACCATCCATCTACTCGTCAGCACTTGAACTCCCTGTGACTCCATGCCAAGTCCTACTGCGTATATCTTGTCCCCCTCCCATTTTCAACTTTACACTTTGTCTTCTCCTCCCTTGGAGTACCCATTTCCCCTTTGTTGAAGCCATCACCAATTCTTGGCATTCTCTTGGCACAATCGGATACGATCCACGTATGGCTGCCCTGTATATGAGTCGGATTTCATCCTCCTTCTCACCTTTTCTTTCCTTCTCTTCAATCAATCAAGACTTTCACCACCACAATGTCGTTCACCGTGATCACTCCCTTCCGTATGGTTCAACACCCCTTCCCCTATTTACGCCTTGTTTCTACACACTCTGAATCCCGACTATTGACTTCGGCGAGAATCACATCCACCTCTACCACTCATTCTCGATACGGACAACAATGTCGTCAAACTCGAAGCCAAAAAGCCCTGCGCAGACATCCAGAAAGCGACCCCTTACACGTTCAGAAGAGGAGAATGCGGAGAATGTGGAGGAGGTTCAGAAAAGGATGCGCCTCTCGACGGCCCTTCAATCAACATTATTGGAACTCGGCGGTGGATGTGTTGGATGCGAAGTTCAACGCTGCCCAATCCGAGACTCTACGCGATGGCGTTGCAGCCCAAAGAGAATAGGTATGTTGTCATGGTGGCGAACTGGAAGAAGCGGCGATAATTCTGGCCAAAATGCGGGAGGTACCTAACATCAGAAAAAGATCTCTACAAGCAGCAGGAGAAGCGGATCGAAAAGGCCGGACCGATTCGTCGATGCTTCATGGCCTTGTTCAACACCAGCTATATCGGCATTAACGCTGACAAGGAAGGCTGGTGCGGGCAAGAGGGCAAGAAGCGCACAGAGCAACACACTTCAAGAAGGCGCTCATCACGGCGTACGACGCGGGTCAACCTCGGCCGGGCGACGGCAAGCCGCTACACTTCCGTCCAACTTCCGACCACCGCCCGAGAGCTCGCTATCTTTACTTCCTCTACGTCTCAGCCATTTTGAAAAAAAAAGCCTGGGATCACAGAAATAGGAGGAAGCCCGAGGAAGTCCTAAAGGACTAAATCGGCAAGAGAATGTGGGTGTTAGTGGCCATATTGCAAGAAGCGGGCCACCATTTAGATGAGGAGGAGCTCCAGCCTGACGCAGAGAGGGCGATTGGCTTGATACCTCTAGCTATAGCCAAGTACATCGCTACCTACTTCGCAGGACACACGGGCGGAGGAAGAGGACAGCTCAGATGGAGAATGCGAGACGCAAGAGAATAGGTACGGTGGAAGTGATTGTACAATAGATGAAAAGAAAACT